TCAAAAAGGTGGATCCGGATTAGTACTTGCGAGGGCAGAAGCACTTGTTGAAGAATATTGGGGGGAAAATTTGCGCTGAGTTCAGTCTAAAGGCATGAAGTCATTAAAGAAGCACGAAGTTACTATGATGTAAATAATTTATTTAATAACTTCTTGCTCACTTAATATAAACGCATAATTCGCCTATATATCTTCATCGAAATCAAATCAACACTCTCATTTGATGTTATTTTATCACTATTGATTTGATTTTGATCTTCTAATAAAGAAAATGATTATAAAGAAAAATAGTTTGTAAGTATAAGTATAACCTCTTTCTATCTTATTTATGAAAAAAGTCAAAATACTAATTTTTACTTAAAATTATTTTTTAAATACTTATACAAAATAATTTTATTTTTTAAATGCCTTTATTATATTACACTATATTATTATTAAGTAAGCAATAAATTATTAAATAAATTATTCACATCATAGTAACTTCGTGCTTCTTTAATGACTTCATGCCTTTACACTATATTACGTTATATTAAATAAACAAGAAGTCATTAATTATATATGCAAGAAGTCACTATAATGTAAACAATTTAACAATATAATGATAATTCAATAACAACTAATAAGATGATAATATATGAATTATTATTAAATTAATTACATCATAGTAACTTCTTCCTTATTTAATATAATATAATATAATGTAATGGCTTCATTTAAAATAAAATATTCATTTTTAAAACTTATTCATTTTGTTTTTAGAATATAAAAGCAAAAACACATTTTAGTTATTTTTTTGGATTTTATAAGAGTTATGTTGTAGGAAAAGTGATTGTGTAATATTATAGATATTCGTTTTGTGTGCATGGCGTAATTTTTTTTTTCTTCAAAAAGTGTGGGCCCCACAAAATATTGTATGTGTAGGAAATTTTGTTGTGTCATGTTAAATGATAAATGCAAACCCCTGTTTTTTTTTTCTTAATTTTTTTTATGATTTTTCTGTTTTCATTTCAAATTATCATTGCCATTAATATCGCTGGAACTACCATCAATGCTAGTGGTGCCGTCGTCACCGGAGTCATTATATTGCCAAACACCATTAAAGTATTTCAAGCTTTCAAAAAACATTTTCTCAAAATAAAAATTATTAAACAATTTTTGTTTGTTTGAATATTTTCTGTTTTGTTAAATAATTTAAAATATTTTTTAAAAATTAAAAAACAGAACAGATACAAATACAAATACATCCTAAGTTACTTAGTCCTCTTGATTTTCCACATAGATCCGACCTCTTTGGTAAATTCCATAGGAAGGCGTCTCATCTTTAATATATATCAACTAGAACTAATATATATATATATATATATATATAGGGAGGGATCATTTGACTCCAGAGTAAGATTTAAAAGTCTTACTCCTCATCTCAGCCCTTGATTTCCGTTCATCCAATAGTTATCATTTAATTGAAATTAATAATTAATTAATTGTTGTAACTTATTAAATGATAACCGTTGGATGAACGGAAATCAAAGGCTGAGATGAGGAGTAAGACTTTTAAATCTTACTCTGGAGTCAAATGATCCCTCCCTATATATATATATATATATATATATATATATATATATATATATATATATCAATAAAAAGCGTTACCTACCCTGTGAAGATGGAACAATGACGAAATGTGGGACATATGTTATAGTGTGAATGATATGAAGTATGAACCTAACTATGAAATCTTATATAATTTGGAGATGGGGAGCTAATTCGAAAGCCTAAACCCCAACAGCACTTTTTATATCTTCCTGGTGACGCCTTGGATCCTTCTCTTACTAAAATTTTAAATTAAAGAAAATGACCCTTCATCGTAGAAAAGAAACAGGGCAAGAGTAGGAATCAAGTCTATGTACAAACAAAACTACATAGAATACTATTTGAAATATTATTAATTTTATAATTAATAAGGCAATCAACCGCAGCATTGAAAATAAAGATCAAAATCTCTATTATTTAACCATACTTCAAACAAGCTACATAAAATTTTACCTTTAGAAATTATGTTAGGGGAATAAACAGCATAAAAATATTTTTTCCGTCTCTGTTAGCAGTTTGATGTTCATATTTATCTCCAGCAACAACAAAAAGACAAATAAGAAACAGAAGAGAGCGTAGTGAAAGAAGAGGATATCTTTTTGATAACGAGGACAAAATAATAATAATAATTAGAAACAAAACCAACGCATGGATATTAATGTGTGGTCCTTCCTCTACCTTTTTCTCTGATTTTTCCCCTCCTTTTCGATTCCTTTTTATTTATTTCTTTTCAGTTAGTGGTTAATAATTATACACGGTTTCTCATTTATACAATGTATAATTATTGGGAGTGAATCCTCTCATGTGTTAATTAACGTGATCATATCATGTTAAGAAATCATAACCATACAAAGGTAGATCAATGGTGATAGAGGAAGAGAAAAAAAATTAAAGATAGGTAGTTACATAATCATAATCGTTGATTTTCTTTTGTATGACTAAAATTCTTACACATGACATGATCATGTTAAATGAGAAAATTCATTTCCTTAATTATTAGTTGACAAGGTTCTTATCCCAAAAAAAGATGATTGAAAAGGAACGGATGGTGCCACGAAAGGGTTCTCCTAAGTAAAAGTTAACTTGGAGATCTGCCTTAATTAGGGAATATTTTTCTCATGGATTTTGATACTTTGGTGAATTTTTTTTTTTTTTTTTAAATTTTTATGAGAAAGAAAGACACAAAAATAATTATAAGAAAATTCATTATTATATGTATAGGATCTATTAATTTTGTGTGTGTGTGTTTTCTTTTTTTTATACTTATAAAACGGAAAATAATATATAATGTAAAAAGATACAAATGCTTACAGTAATAGATCTTAAAAACAATTTAGCCAGCTAATGAGAATGAAGCTCAATAGTGTAAGGTGAAGGGAGCAGAATCTACATATACCACTAAAATTCAAAAGGCTCGTAGAGCCAACTCCAAAGTCTTTTAAACCATTTTTTTTTCCCTTCCTGTATTGTAGCACTTTAATTAAGGTCTATGCCGGCTATAAAACAACTCAAAGTTGAAGCGTGAAGGCATTTAGAATTGCATTTAATGCAGTTACTATATAGATTCCAAAGGGCTAAAATATTGACTTGTGATTGATCCTAGTCAGGAGTTTTAGTTTAAATTGGCACTATTTTTTTTTTTTTTGGTACATAAATTGGCACTATTTGATTACTGTAAGGGTTCGTTTGGACGAATTTTTAAAAAAATGACTTTTTATGCATTGCTTTGTTTAAAAGAATTTTTTTTAAAAGGTAAAATTATTTTATATTTGGATGTATGATATGAAAATCACTTTTACATAAAGAAAAATTATTTGGATGTTAAAATAAAAAAACACTTTTTATATATAAAATTACAATAAAGAAGAGATAAAATAGTATAATCGTGGGACGAAGAGAGATAAAATAGATATTATAGGATGAGGTTAAAATTATATTTTAAAAATTTATATTATATTTTTTTCATAAATAAATAAAATTATATTATCTTTTAATTTCTACTTTTTTCAAAAGCAACCATCTACTGGTTACAAAAAAGCAGCATTTTAGTTTTTATTTTAAATTTTAATTTTTTGAAAATTGTTATTCAAACATCTAAAAATTCTCAAAAAAACTTTTATTTAAAAAAAAAAACAAACTTTTTAGGAATAAAAATCCAGATACTAAATCTGTACCAATTAGTAGAATGATTCTGTGAGTGTGACCTAGTTTAAGGATCCAACGTTCTAATTCCAATATAAACCCGCATTGAATTTTGTGTTATTCTCTGGTCATGAGATGTGTATCCCCTAATGTAAATTGTAAATTTCATATAAAAGAAAACACCTTATCCTTTGAAAGTTAAAATTTAATTAATGATCTCCATAAGTAATGCAAGTATATTGGAGGTTTAGGCTCTAATGCAATCCTCTCTTTCACAAGTTAATTACTCCTATAATATTACGTAACCGTTTCTCCATTACCAGTTAAGCTAATTATGAAAATTTTAATCCAAAAATATCAATAAAAAAATAACAGTGTCGGTATGAAGGAAACTCAAAATAAATGAATAGTTAATCATGGTTTTCTCTAGAGTACACACCACAATATCATTTTCTTTATAAGGAAAAACAGGACACTACAGCTAACTTAAAACTAAAATGAAAGTGAAGACTAGAAACCCCATATTTTATTGTCTTAAAACAACAATATATATATATAACATAAGAAAGCGATAGATAACTTAAAGTAAGTTATGTCAATTTAGTTTTCAAAGGGGCATGAACGGTTTTAAGAGTTGGAAACAACCACTTATGTAGAAATGTCAGATGTAGACAATTTTCTTGAATAACCAAATTTCTCAATAGAAAAAACGACTAATTAAGGTGATAATGTTCCTAATGGGTCGAAGCCAACTCATCCATCCTAGAGCTAAGCATGTAGAGATGCAAACACAGGACCACAACTCAAATATCTAAAACTTATCATTAAGAACCCACTTAATTCCACTTGCATTATAGTAAGAATATAAAATTAGAAAACAGTTTAAGGGACATTGCCACAAATAGATGGGTGCAGGTTAACAGCATTGGCCCCCATCCCAAACTTATTTCTTGCACCTTCCTATATTTGGTTTGAGAAACTAAAAAAATGAGCAAAAAGAGGCAGAAAAAGCAAGAATTGTGTGTACATTGGAATAGTTGAAAAGAATTAGTGCCAATTTTTGGACTATTAAATTACATGTTAGAGATATAAAGGAGGTGATAGAAAGAAAGAGAGAGAGAGAGAGAAAGAGGGAGAACGGTGGTTATGATTCATTTAGAACATAAAAAAATAATAATAAATGGGACACATAGTACTAAAATGAGGTGGAGGGTCCTTGCTATGCATGAAAGCAAACGCTTATTGGTGTATTTCCATTACATTTGTACGCATTCGTCGCTCCTCTTCTTCTTTACTTGTGCTTTCTCTCTCCTCTCCTCTCTCTCTTTCTCTCTCCTTGTGTGTTTGTGTGTGTTTTTGCTTCATATTGTACCGACATGGCTCCAACCTAATGGGGTTTCGTAGGATTCGATGCTGCTACTCCTTCTTCTTGTGCTTCTACCTCTAAGTCCCAAGTGTGAGTGCTCTCACTTTCTTTCTTTCTTCTTCTTCTTTGAGTTAACAGGTTTTATCAACTCTATCGAGCTTGACTGTTTTTTTTTTGTTAAATGTTTCTTCTGGTTCTGCTAGTGTTGTACTTGGTTAAAGTACATGGGTTTTTGTATTTCGTATGTATGCTCATTTCTGTTTCACCTGTTTGTATTTTTCTGTTGGGATTGTTGTTGGGTTGTGCCTTTCTTGATTGTAATTCCCATCTAACTTTTGTTCCCTACTTCGCCTTTTGTGTCTCAGTTTGAAGCTTTAAAGTCTTCAGTTTTTATTGCTTAGGCTTTCTAGAATAATCTTAAACTTTTTTGTTTGTATTATTATTGATTATTGATAAGTTATGGAAATTGGAATTTTGTTGTGATGTATATTTTTCAATTCCGCTCCTCTTTTCTGACGCTTAAGCTTAAAACTGGATAAAAATCTGAGGTAGAACATACTATTTATGCTAGTTCTCCCCTTTTTCTTTTTTCTTTTTCAGTTTTGAAAATTTTGTTCTTTTAATACTGTATATGGTTTCTGGCCCTCAACCTTATTATTTCACTTGTATTGGTAATTGTTTTTCCATCTTTGCTTACAGGAAGTGGTATACTTTTCTGCAACAGGATTAACTTAGAAATCAACTTTTGGATAATTTTGGAGGGTGCTTATGGCGATGCAAACTGCTTATCTTAAAGAACATGAAGGAATTGCCCACAATTTTGTTGGGCAGTTGTCATCTGTAACTTCAGCACCCTGGTGGAATGCTTTTGGATCTCAATCCGTTTATGGGGAGTCTTGTGGCCAAATAAAGCCCTTTTCATTGGAGCTGCCTTCCTGTGTAGACCAACTTGCTGCCAGTAAGCAATCGGCAAGAGGAGCTGAACAAGTGTTGGGTAAAGGACACACAACTCAGTTTACCATCTTTCCAGGTATTTAATATGATTTTGGATGTATCTATTTATTTGAGTTGTATAATTTAGTTAATTGCGTTTACACCAAAAAAAGTAATTGATATGAACTGTTAGAGAGTTGTGACTATAACACACAGATATCACAAAAGTTAGTTACTGCATCTTTTTGCCGTAATGTCTTGGGAGATGGATATCATGTGAGGTGGCTTATGATAAAGAAACAAGTGCGTGATGCAATAATTCAGTCTGGGAAAATCTAAGTGGAGGGAAGCTGCAGATATTAGTGTAGCTGCGCATAGTTTGGGAAATCAAAGATAAAGCAAACAATACTCTTTTTAATTAAACTTTGGATAGCTAGAAACTAATTTGCAGCATATCTTTCTCTGGTGAACTCTTAGTTTCTTTTTGCTTTCATGAACGGAACATGGTTAAATAGCTTTGACACGAGGGCCAGTTTTTGTTTTTAAGACATATTCTTGGTTGAGAGAAGAAATATATGCCAACAATGGAGCTTGTTGTTCAGAAGGGTTTCCATCACCACAAGAAAATGAAGTATACATATGAAAGATCTAAAGACTTCAAGTTGATCCATCATGTTGATTTACTGACATTAGAGTGTGATTATGTTGTGCTTGCGGACTTGTATTGAAGAAAGTAAGCTAAAAAACGCTTTCATTGAGAATATTGAAGTGGAGGCTTTACCCCCTCCCCCAAAGAAATGAAAAGGTTAAATTAGTTATTTGATCCCTATAGTTTGACTCCAAACTCATTTTAGTGCCCACACTTAAAACCCTTTAAAATGGACCCTATTAGATTCCTATAGTTTCATCTTAAATTGGAAACTGTTAGAAAAAAATATAAATCATTAAAAAGACCCTTACCTAACACCTTAAAGTTTTGGGTTAAAGTAGTTCTTTACATGGTATTAGAGCTTCAGTGACTATAAGGTCACGAGTTCGATCCTCCCTTGTAGAATTAAATAAAAAGCACAAAAAGTAAACCAAAAATTGGGTCTGTGCAATATCCACGCTTCAAGCCCAATGGGCTCTTGCGTGAGAGTGTGTGTTAGAGAATAGTATAAACCATTAAAAAACCCTCACCCATTAGCTTAAGTTTTTGGGTTGAATTGGTTCTTTACATGATATCAGAGCCTCGTGTCCCGGGTTCGATCCTCATCGCCCCCACTTTCTCTTGTGGAATTTTCTTAACACAGGTAGGTGGGCCTGTGCATTGTCTACCTTTCAAGCCCAGTGGGCTCTCGTGTGAGAGAACGTGTTAGAGAATAGTATAAACCATTAAAAAGCCCTCACCCATTAGCTTAAGCTTTTGGGTTGAATTAGTTCTTTACATGATATCAGAGCCTCGTGTCCCGGGTTCGATCCTCATCGCCCCCACTTTCTCTTGTGGAATTTTCTTAACACAGGTAGGTGGGCCTGTGCATTGTCTACCTTTCAAACCCAGTGGGCTCTCGTGTGAGAGAACGTGTTAGAGAATAGTATAAACCATTAAAAAGCCCTCACCCATTAGCTTAAGCTTTTGGTTGAATTGGTTCTTTACAGAAACAAATCCAACTATTAGGAACCATTTTGCATTGTTTGAAAACTATAGGGACTTTTTCAAATGGTTTTAAATTACAGGGACTAAATTGAATTTTGAGTGAACCTATAAGGACTAAATCATTAACTTAAGAAAAAACTTAAGTGGAGCGCATTTCAGTACTAAAATAGACTTGAATTTTGAGGAAACCGTTTCCCACAGGGACCTCACGAGGCACTTTTGCTTTGTCTTATTTTATTAGTTAAGATACTTCAGGAGGAAGTTAATGGATTTAGCTGCGGTGGATTCAAACTTGAAAATTGCTAACAAATGATAGTCTTCAGAATGGAGACTGCATCAGCAGGATATATTCTTTTAGAGAGTGTTGTATATATAGTAGAAGTAGTATAGGCTTAGTCCCACGACATGTATTTCAGGTTGTATATACTCAGTAGTTTTATATATAATATAACCTCCGTTGTGCTATTAACCACGTGGATTTATTCCAATATTCCTTTTGTCTCGTTTCTCTACATGGTATTATAGCCTCAATGATTACAAGGTCACAAGTTCGATCCTCACCGCCCCCCTACTTTCTCTTGTGGAATTTCTTAGCACAGGTAGGTGGGCCTGTGCATTATCCACCCTTCATGCCTAATGGGCTCTCATATGAGGGGGCGTGTTAGAGATATATAAAACCATTAATATAGCCTCATCCACCAGCTTAAGTTTTTGGGTTGAATTGGTTCTTTACATTTATTGATGATTATTTTAGATGTACTTGGTTATTTTTAATGAAAAATCGTTCTAAGTTATTCTCTATTTTTCAGTTATTCTATAATGACATCAAAACTCAGTTTGGTATTTCTATTCGTACTTTTCGTAATGATAATGCTTGTGAGTATTTATCTCATCAATTTCAACAATTCTTTTCTTCTCATAGCATTCTTCTTCAAATATCTTGTCCTCATACACCTCAACAAAATGGTGTAACCAAGTTAAGAACCGTCACCTTGTTGAGACTGCTCGCCCATTGTTAATTGATGACAATGTTCCTTACAAGTTTTGGGGTTATGTTGTTCTCATCGCATGCTATCTCATTAATCACATGCCTTCTTCTGTTTTTTCTCATCAGGTACCTTACTTTGTTTTGTTCCCTCATCAACCTTTATATCCTTTGACAACACGTCTTTGGTTCTAAGTGTTTTGTTCATCATCTCGGTCTCGACTTGGATACACTAGCTCTCAAGTCTCATAAATGTGTTTTTCTGGGTTATCCTCGGTCTCAAGAGTTATCGTTGCTACTCTCTGACTTTATGTCGACACTTTATCTCGACAAATGTTTTCTTCGAATCAGTCCCATTTTTTAACTCAACTACTACTACTACTGTGGACTCTGGTTCTGTTCAGTCATCTCTCCCTGTCGCCTCCTTTGAAGACCTTTCGTCTTTCTCGGTCCCTGTGTTTGACTCTCCTTCAGTCACCTCTTCTCCTGATGAGTTGCAACCTGTTTCCCTACTTCCGGTTTCTCCAGATTTTTTTGTGGGCTCACATTCGACTGCATCTCCTCTCTCGGCTCAGTCCCACCTTCAATTAGCTGCCTTCCCATTGCTCTCTGTAAAGGTACCTGTGATATCCGCCCTCCGGCCAGGTATTCAGTTAATATTAGTTACCATCGTCTTTCTCCATCATATTTTGCATCTTTTTCCTCTTTGTCTTTTGTGTCTATTCCTAAGACTACAGGTGAAGCACTTTCACATTCTGGATGGAGACAAGCTATGATTGAAGAAATGAGTGCTCTTCGGCACAATAGCACATGGGATTTGGTCCCTCTTCTGTCGGGGAAATCTGTTGTTGGCTACCACTGGGTTTATGGGTTGGTTCCGATGGTAAAGTGGATCATCTTAAAGGCCGTTTGGTGGCGAAGGGTTTCACTCAAGTGTTTGGACTGGATTATGGTGACATTTTTTTCCCTGTGGTAAAGGTGTCTTCTGTTCGCCTCTTTATTGTCATGGTTGCTATCCGCCACTGGCCTCTCTATCAACTTGATATTAAGAATGTTTTTCTTCCTGGTGATCTTGCAAAAGAAGTTTATATGGAGCAACCTCCTGAGTTTGTTGCTCAGGTGGAGTCGGGTCTTGTTTGTCATCTCCGCAAGTCTCTATATGGTCTCAAGCAATCTCCACGAGCTTGGTTTGGAAAATTTAGCATTGTTGTTTAACAATTTGGTATGACTCGGAGTTGGGTGATCATTCTTCTCTTTTATCGTCATTCAGCTTACGGGTTTATCTACTTGGTGGTGTATGTTGATAATATTGTCATCACAGGTAGTGATAATCATGAGATTAGTTAGTTGAAGCAACATTTATGCCATCATTTTCAGACCAAGGATCTTGGGAAACTTTGATATTTCTTGGGAATCGAGGTGGCCCTATCTAAAGATGGAATTGTGATATCTCAGAGGAAATATGCTCTGGATATTCTTGAAAAAATTGTTTTGTTAAATTCTAAGTCTGTTGATACTCCTATAGATCAAAGTATCAAGCTTCTACTGAATCAGGGGGAGCTCTTTTTAGATCATGAAAGGTATAGAAGATTAGTTGGAAAACTGAGCTACCTCACAGTCATTCGCCCTGACATTTCATTTGCAGTTGGTGTGGTAAGTCAGTTTCTTAATTCTCCATGTCAAGAACATTGGAATGCCGTCATTCGTATTCTCAAGTATATCAAGGCATTTCCAGGAAAAAGACCTTGAATATAAAGATAAAGGTCATGTTAAAGTTGTCGGATACTCTGATGCTGATTGGGCCGGTTGTCCTACTGATAGAAGATCTACTACTGGATATTGTGTCTTAGTTGGAGGCAACTTGATTTCTTGGAAAAGTAAGAAGCAGAATGTAGTTGCCAGTCAAGTGCTGAATCAGAGTATCGCTCTATGGCTACTACTACTTGCGAGCTCATCTGGCTTAAGCAACTTCTTAGAGAGCTTAAGTTTGGAGACACTGGACCAACAACCCTCATTTGTGATAACCAAGCAGCACTTCATATTTGTTTTAATCCAGTGTTTCATGAAAGAACCAAGCATATCAAGATAGATTATCACTTTGTTCGCGAGAAAGTCCTTGCTGGTGAAATTAAGACTAGTTTTGTACCCTCTAATGACCAATTAGCGTATGTATTTACAAAGTTTTTGAGGGGTTCTCGAATAGAGTATATATGTAACAAGCTTGATGCTTATGATTTATATGCTCCAGTTTGAGGGGAAGCGTTGTGTATATAGCATAAGTAGTATAGGCTTAGTAACACATCATGTATTTCAGGTTGTATATACTCAATAGTTCTATATATAATATAAACTCCGTTGTGCTATTTCACACATTTATTTATTCCAATATCCTTTCATCTCTTGTTTCTCTACGTAGAGATATAATATAAAGCTATAGTGGGCCTTCACTTAACAACTTGAGCTGTTGGGTTAAGATGATTGCTTTATCATTGTATCAAAACCTTTGTGACCACGGGGTCATGAGTTCAATCCTCACCACCCCCTATTTTATAGTGAAATTAAGTCAGTACAACTACGAGCCTGATGCATTGTTCACGCTTCAAGCCCAAAGGGCTTTTGCGTGAAAGGTTGTGTTAGAGAGAGATAATATAAAATCATTGATAAGCCTTCACTTAACAACTTGAGTTGTTAGGTTGAGATGGTTGCTTTATCATATTCACTCAAACTTTCATATTGTCTTCCAAATTTCCGTAAAGATTGTGATCATTAAAGTGATGGTTATCAAATTGTAAGACAGATAAAATGATATTATCCATTTAAGCCCATTTGCTCCCTTCAAACACACTTGGAATGGATTTTTCTAGTTATAAGGTCTGAATCTAAAATTATGTCACAAACTTCAGTAGAATTGTTTTATGCATTAAATTATTAAAGTAAAGCTATTATATTTTCCCCCCAATTTTTTGAAGTGATGGTGCTGCACTTTGAGAGCAACTAATTGGTAAAGTTGTTCTTTTGTGACCGAAAGGTCACGAATTCAAGTCTAGGAAACCACCTCTTTGCTACAAAAAAAAATGCAAGGATAATGCTCCCTACAATTCATCCTTTCCCTTACCCTTGTAAAATCAGGGAGCCTTTGTGTTTTGCCCTATATAACAGTTTTTGCTGCACTTGACACATCAAGTATCGTGTGGGTAACCTTTTAGACGTTTCTTCTTCAGATGATTGTAAAATGTCAGGTGATGCACAAAAGCCTCAGACAACCATATCACTGCAGTCATCACCTACTGATACCTACACTCGTTTTGAGCTAGGATTTAGTCAGCCTATGGTAAAACTTCTCTCGGAAAAAACCAATTTGATGTTTTAATATTTTCTTTGTGGACATATTTTGCTTATGCTTGGTATCTTTCCCTTTGTAGATCTGTGCCAAATATCCTTATACGGATCAGTTTTATGGGCTCTTCTCAACTTATGGACCTCAGATTTCGGTTCGTCTTTACTTCAGCAAGCTTCTTAATCCATATAAACATGCTATGCTTTTGCTTTTAGTTATCATTTGGTGATCTTGTGAACCTCTCATTATTTATTAATTCATGTATGTATCATCTGCAACAATTTAGGGACGTATAATGCTGCCACTTAACATGACATCTGATGATGGACCAATCTACGTAAATGCTAAGCAGTACCATGGAATCATAAGACGTAGGCAGTCCCGCGCCAAAGCTGTACTTGACCAGAAATTGACAAAACGTCGCAAGGTATGATTCGTCATATGGTTATCCCAAACTTTTTTTTTTTTCATCTTTAAACAAATGAATATTATGTGGCTTCAACTTCACTGGCCTTGAAACAATGTAGTAGTGATAGGATGGTCTGACCAAATTTATATGGAAAATGGTACATTATCACTGTCAGATTGTAAAGCAATGTAGGAAGCAACCTGCTCCAAGGCTCGACCAATTGAAATTTGTATCATGTAATTATAAATTTTATCATTAAGGCATTGTGTATTCAAAGATCCGTGCTTCGGCAAAATTATGCTTAATTCTTAAATTCAGAAGAGAACCAAGAATAGTGCTAATATTAAACATCAACATGAGCATTCCTTTGTTAAGTCAAAGGATAAATCACTCACTTTCTTTGCTGATTACAGACTTTGACTACTTGTGAAATAGTATTGTATCCTTTTCGCCTTTTTTTAATAGCTATTTGGGTTTTTTGTTTTTGTCTTACAGCCCTATATGCATGAGTCACGCCATCTCCATGCAATGCGTCGACCAAGAGGATGCGGGGGTCGTTTCTTGAACACAAAGAGTTTTGTTAATGGAAATGGTAAAAGTGAAAGCAAAGTGAAAAAATCTGGTGGTGTACAATTGCAGTTCAGTGGCTCGCAGAGTTCTGAAGTCCTTCAATCTGAGGTTGGAACCTTAAATTCGTCAAAGGAGAATGGTAGTAGTCCAAACATTTCTGGGTCAGAGGTGACTAGCATGTATTCACGTGGAGGTCTTGACAGCTTTGCTGTCAATCATCTTGGATCTGCTGTCCACTCTCTGGCAGACATGTTAGATGGTGGGCGTGGTATCGTCATTCCCACCAAATGGGTTGCAGCATCAGGGAACTGCTGCAACCTTAATGTTTGATTGGCAAAGAATCAAGTGGGCTTGGTGCAATGTTGCACCAAACCCTGTCCTTGATGTGACCAGATGAAGAAGCTCAGTTTCAGTTTCTTGTGTTTACTGTTACTAGTTTCGTTGTGGAGGTTATATCCAACATCTGGTTTCATGGCAATCCATCCTTGGCTCATGAGTAGGCAATTCATCCTTGGCTCAATGTAACCTTTAGTACTGTCTTTGTCTTTCTGCACAGGACTGTCTTTGGCATCGTACAAGCTAATGACTTGGTATCCTAATGCAGAAGACAATTATGTGTCTGTCTTAGTGTGAAAATAAAAGCATGAAATTCTAGTTACGTGTGCTTGTAATAATGACTAGACGGTGTGTTTTTATTCTGGATTCCTGACTTTCTGGATCAATGTATCATATAACTTTAGCCTGTGATCTTTGTTAGAAAAATAAAGCAGTGGTGTGGTTTTCCCCTCTTGGGTAACGTTAAAATTTTATTATCTTTTTTGCATTTGGAAAATAGCAAGTACTGCAAATAATTCCAACTGATGCTGCAAATTTTATTTGGTGTAACTAGCTGATAACCACATCCTGGAATAAATCTTTAGTGCAACTGATGTACTGAAGATTCAATGCAACTATCATTTATTTTGAGACAAAAAATATTATATCATTTGAAAAAGGAAAAATTAAATGACAGCCGACTAGATTATGTGATGTTTTTTTATTCACGTGTCATAAAATACAATGAATGGAAGTTACACTGAATTTGTCAGTGCATCAACCCATTAACTGATTATCAAGAATTATCTATCCCATATGTTCAATCGGGGATGGGTTGTCAAGAATTATGTAATTTGTTTCCATAAATAAATAGAGTTCATGTCATATTCTGGTGGGCTTTGGTCATTGATTCGAAAAAATGAAGGTATTGTTAAAGTGTTTTATTTCTCTACATAAGAGAGAAGTTCTCTCTTATGCGGAGCTTGTACTTCTTTTTCAAAAATAAGAGGAAAAAAGGATTGAAAGGGAATTTAGAAAAAAGACAGGATATAAATAGAAGAAAATATTTTCTTTTTTGATAAAGGACTATCAAATAAGATTGTGGTCATAGAGCATATTAAAAAAATCCCTTATGCTGACACAAATGAAGTGAGGTTCAATAATTTTAAAAAAAATAAAAAAAATGGATCATTTTTTTATGTGAGAGAAATAGGAGAGTGCTTTCTCCTAAAATATAAGAAAATGATTTCCCCTTCTTAAAATTCCTCAGATCGATTAATATTGTACAAGAAAAGTTTGGAGTGATTAATGGCCTATAGACGTGTATTTGTAGCCCTTCTAAAAGAGAAAGCCTTGAAGTTCAGACTTCCATGAGTAAAAAATGCCAGGTAATGTGTTATAATTCGTTCCGTCCCAATAACCCATTCCAGTTAAAATAGTGATTGGACTGGATTTGGGCTTTCGAAATAGACTTGATGTATTTTTCTAGTGTTGGATTACCAACTATGAAATTCACTCATATCAATATTTTTGTAAAAATATTTTTTCATATTGCACAAGGATTCAATTCTCATGTTGTGATCTTTTAATTTATGTATAAAGTTTTTTTTTTCTTTTTAATAAATGTGGGGCCCACCACTAGTTGTGTATATAAGAATTCAATTCTCATGCAACATGAGAAAATCAAACCCCATATTTTTTTACATAACATGATAATATTTTTATATTGTTATAATTTATGTTTAAATAATATTATAAAATATTATTTCATTTTATTTATTTATTTTTAAATTTGCATGACTTGATTATACATATTTATATAGTTTGTCTAAGAGAAAAATATTTCTGCAGTTACTGCATATAAGTTATCTGCATTTACTCTCAAAAGGATGTCTTTTTGAAATTGAAATATTAAAAAATTATAATTATAAACACTATAATAACCCTGAAATAAATTAAAATTACAAAAACACCATGATTTCTGCCCTAAAATGATGTCGTATTGGACTTATGACAGATAACTTATCTACACTAACCGCATAAAAAGTGAACCTTTGTCTAAATATTAAGTTAATTTGGTTTCGATCTTATCATTGGTTATGCCATAAATAAATTGGGTTGGAGCACAATAAGGCTAAGTCTGTGTTTAGAAAAATAACTCCATCAAAATATTAGACTGAGTTTGAGCAATTGAGCTCGATTTAATGACACCCTAACTTCACAGAGATGAGCTAACCGCCAATTGCATCGCATCAGAAGATACCATAAGAGACAATTCATCGACCTGCACAAAGGAAATACAGTCAGAAGATATTTGTCTAGAAAGTGAACTAGCAGGAAGCACAAGCAAGTTTTGAACAATAACTAATAAGACGATGCCAAAGAGAATCAGCAACTCTTAAAATTGACATCCAGCATGTAAGGATGAAGGTTAATCTACCAGTTTGGGTTCAAATTAAGTTTCCTCTTTCAATGAGCACCCAAACTCCTCATAAAAATCTAAAGTTTAAATTTTAATAAACTGAACTAACTATTTATAAAAAAAAAATTAAATTTTTTACAATACCAAGTAACTCAAAATTGCATTTTTTTAATATATATATCGTTATGAAATTTATTTGTTAATGAATGAATTTACTTAGGAAAATAAAAATTAAATAAAATATAAATACTTATTATATTAAAATATAAATTTTATTCCTTTAAATAATTAAATTAATTTAATAAATTATATTGAATATTGTTTAATAAGTAACGCAGATGTTTTGCTTTAAACTTTTCTTATAATTGCATGAAAATATTTAATAATGAATGAAATAGAATAAAACAAAGTGAGATTGAATAAAATAATTATATTATTGTTTAGATATATTATGATATACTAGAATAGTGTATGATTTGAAAAGTTGATTAAATATTAAGGAGAAGGAAAAAATATTTATACTTTTGTTGCAGAAATTTTTTCTCTATTACTTTCATATAAAAGTAAATGTATAAAAATTTTTAAGCAAAGTATCATTTATTTCTTTCGTATTGTTTTTAGGGTTTGTTTTTTCTAAAGTTACTTTAGATAATTTTATCTAATGTTCATCGAAACGATATCGTTTTGGGACAGAAACTATGGTATTTTTGTAATTTTAATTTATTTCAGGGTTATAATAATCTTTATCATTTTAATTTTTTAATTTTTCAACTTCAAAATAACATTATTTCGATCAACATTAAAAAAAAAAGTTGTATTACTAAGTAAGGTAACAAGCTTTTTTCCCTTGTTTTTAATATAAACACAGTATGCAAATGAAAATGATGATTTTTTCTTTGGTATTTGAGTAACATTTGGACATGGTTGCAACCGTAAGCAAGAAAACCTTATCCTTGTCACATTTCAATTGGAAAGCACCAACTCAACAATGGTAGCCTCACTCATTATATCTCCCTTTCACACCCATTTCACTTCTCAACTCTGCAACTGTTAACCTTCCCTCATTCTCCATGGCTGCTGCTACACCTTCTGTTTCCTCTTCTACCTTCAATACTATCTGCAACCTCTCCTTGACTCACTTTTCCATTTCACTCACCAGCAACTTCCCTCAAAGACCCATATCCCTGAAACCCCTCAATCTCAACCTCAAGTCCCAAAGTTTCACTCTTTCCCCTCTTTCACTTCACCGTCTTCGTCCACATTCCACTGCCTTCGATGGATTTGAAGTGTCTCAAGACATCACAGTGTCCCAACAAGACGACCCAGAACCTGAAACATTTGATAAACCACAACAAGAGGAAGAGCAGAAGGTATCGGATTCAAACGATGATGGGAGGCTCTATGTTGGAAACTTGCCTTATTCAATTACTTCTTCTCAATTGTCTGAGCTCTTTGCTGAAGCTGGCACTGTGGTCTCTGTTCAGGTTTCTTCTTTTTCTTTAATTTTACATCTTTTTGTGTGTGGCTATTTTGTTTAATTCCCTTTTCACTTTTTGTGCTTGTTTTTGGGATTTTATATTAATCTAATTCTAGCTTGTTTTGTTTGATTGAATGCTATAAGATCGTGTATGATCGTGTAACTGATAGGAGCAGAGGATTTGCATTTGTTACAATGGGGAGTGTTGATGAAGCTAAAGAAGCAATTCGAATGTTTGATGGCTCTGTAAGTCTCCTACGTTAGCTATTACATGATTTGATTCATTCGTGCTACCTTCGTAGTAATAAGGAGTTCCTTTCTGTCAGAAAGAGCTGTTGTTCTATTCTGTTAATGGATTTTGTGCCACTGCCACTGATCTAAGCAGTGTTAGCTATTCCCAAGAGTATGTTCTGTTATTCCATTACTGATTTATCCAAGGATGATGAAGTCCTTATGAATTATGATGATCATTTATGGGCAAATGTTTCATTATTCATTGAAAATGAAAGAATCCAGGTTGCAAAGTAGGGTGCTATTTCATTTTCCTACTATTTATGCTAACATTTATCTATCTAGTATCTATTAATGTAATATGGCAAAACAATGTTTGTTACCGGGAAGTTATTTGAAAGTTCCATCAGTTTCCTTTTCTTATTTTCTAAATGAAAATAGATTACCGTCTGTGTCAAGAAAAAAGAGAGGGCGAGCTGCAGTGGTAAAGCTACTCTTCTGCGTATAAGGATTTCCCTTATTACTACCCTCGCTAGTCGAGATTTAATGGATAGTGACTATTTTTAAACTGTCTGTGTCAAGATGCTAGCATTATTTATTATAGATGATGAAGCTGAGAGTGGACACAACCAGAATAACTTTGTGCATTATTAAAACTTGGTTATAAACTAGTGATGGAGCCAATTTTAGTTTGCCTTGCCTTTTTATCATTTTGGGTGGTAATTTATTCATCCAGCTGATATCTTTCTTTCTTTCTTTATTTTTTTAGTTGGTCTTGTGATCTAAGAGATATCTTATAAAGAAGTATACTCTAATGTCACAAGCAGAGCTTTCTAATCTAAATTCTCATCGCAATTGATAGTTGCCTGTATGGAAAGTTCAATACTTATGTTAATGACTGTGATGGTGAACAGCAAGTTGGTGGTAGGACTGTTAAGGTAAACTTCCCAGAGGTGCCCAAAGGAGGTGAAAGGTTAGTAATGGGGCCAAAAGTAAGGAACGACTACAAAGGCTTTGTAGACAGCCCTCATAAGATCTATGCTGGAAACCTTGGCTGGGGACTAACCTCAAGGGATCTTAGAGATGCTTTTGTTGAACAGCCAGGCTTATTGAGTGCCAAGATCATCTATGAGAAGGACAGTGGAAGATCCCGTGGTTATGGCTTTGTATCTTTCCAAACTGCTGAGGATGCAGAGGCTGCTTTGAACGTTATGAACGGTGTGGTAAGAACAATTTTGGTAGATTACTATTGCTGACTTCAAGTTCATCTTATGATATCTCAATGTAGCTATATAATATAACCACATTCTTTGTAAATGTAATGTTTTCAGGAGGTTCAAGGTCGACCCTTGCGATTGAATTTGGCTGCACCAAGGACGCCTTCATCACCACCAGTGATTGAGGAAAATACAGGAAGTAATGTTAATAGCTCGGAACTGCTGTCTAGTGCCAGCACATGAGCAATATGATTCATCAAATTTTGCCCGTTAAATGCTTATCATTCAGCTTTTCTCCTAAGGTTCATCTTGTCTCGGTTCATGGCAATTACTAGTCAAACTGGGATAAACTAGCTAGACTTTCAGGCAGTTGTGAGATATATCTGTTACTGAACAAATATTGAACATATCTATAAAGGCTCGGTGTTAATTATATAAGTTGTTATTGTGAAAGACAAGCTTTCAGAGTCTGATGGACTAATAATATATTCAAGTGAGGATTTTTTGTAGTGCTAACCTTGTGCTGAGCGGTGGAAGCGAAGAGAACACGGATCAGAACCACAAATCCACAACGTTATGCAGCTTAGCTTAAAGCCATTTTAAAAGTCAATATAATACCTCAACTAGAGAACCTGCCTGTTGGCAAAAAATAATTCAAGTCGCTTTATATCGTGATTACCATGCACATAATTTTCTCTCGACCCAGTTTGATAGTTAGTCCAACCAAATTTAACCAAATGTGTAAAGAACCATTTCAATCCAAAACCTTAAAGTGTTAGGTGAGGGCTTTTTTAATGATTTATATTAATCTCTAACACACTCTCTCACACAAGAGCCCTTTGAACTTGAAGTGTGGATATTGCACATGTTCAATCTTTGGTTACTTTTTTGTGCTTTTTGTTTTAATTCAACTTTAGAGTAGGAGGCGGTGAGGATCGAACTTGTGATCTTGTAGTCACTCAAGCTCTGATACCATGTAAAGAACCATTTCAACCCAAAATTTAATCTTAAAGTGTTAGGTGAGGATCTTTTTAATGATTTATATTAATCTCTAATAAAATAACTATCAACATTTTTGGGGTGAATAATGCAATAGAGAAATTGAGGCAAATTATACTTACCATATCTTGTTATCAATTTCATTACTGTTAGATTTCTTTTAGCGTTGGATTAATGAAGTAGATGGGCGAGAAGTTGTAAGAGTTGGATCTAAATTTGATCCGATGGCAATAGAGGTGGTAATCAAAGGTGAGAAGTATAATCAACTTGAACGAAATATATCTTTTTAAAGTGACAAAAAAAGAGAAACATAAAAACTAAAAGATAAGAGGCGGAACTTAAAATCACGCTTTTATATCAATGTCCGTTGTCAACAACAGGCTTTATAACATTGAGTTAATCGAATAACATTTTCAAACAAAGCATGATAAGAGGCAGGAAGCCACACGTTACGAGTGATACTGTCTAACCTAACCTTAGCCTTGAACTCAGGCCGACAGTTTAAAAAACAAAAACAAAACAAAAAGCAGCAGCAATTTTCGAAGGCACTTTGGGTTGATTTACGTCGAGTCATGACACCATAAATAAAACCATCCCCGCCTATTGGAACCTTTTGGCTGTATCACAGTAGTATTTTACATTATAAGCTCATGAAAATAGAATGCAATAATCTGTGACTCAAACACTCGCCAGACTGCCTTCTGGAAATCACTTCTTGATTTATCATTTCCCGAAAAGGGAACCGACAGACAATCTCAGTTTCAATTCAAGGACACCATGTAAGCTTTCTCAAACATAGAGGAAATGGGCAACTGAACAGCTCCGAATAAAAAGAAACATAAGAGCCAAACCACCAATAAGTCTGTTTACGAAGAATCAACGCCTGCTAGAAGAGCATCAGCTGCAGAATCCAAGTCATGCGGGAAAAAAACCCTGCAAAGTGATGTTGTTGGAGCTCCAGAATACAGATTAGGTATGCAATACACAGACACAGAGACACACATGCACGCGCAATAGAATTACCAAAAGAGTCAATCCTTATGCCAGCAAGTCACCAGCAAATTAGGTACGTAGCATGCCATTCAACTCATTTATTATAGATACACATTCAATCAATCAAAACTCTAACCATCTAATAACAAGGCAATTAATTCCATCTAAGTTCAAATTTGTTTATTTTTCAGAAAAATTGTGCATTGGGTATTTTAATAATCACAGAGTTTACCTTTCTTGTGTTTTTCCTACAAATAAATAAGATCAATAATTCCACAAGTGATCACTTCCATTAGTTATGGAAATTCCAGAGACAAGCTATGCTACCTGCAAGTGTTGTGGTACACTGTTCTGCTGAGGTTACCCACGTCAATGATACCTTTACAGCCAGCAACCACCTCAAGAACTTGCCTGGAAAATTAGTCATATGACTCATATTATTTGAAGAAGAGGAATAAATCTACAATTAAAGTTGAACTCATCCAGTCTAGGACAGTTTTATTAAAAAAATGAAGGCAAAAATGAACAGATCATATCATGGGTTTAAATTTTAGCAAAATTGGAAGTTCGCAACCCAAGATAAGCAAAACCATCCGATTTACCTAACTAAACAAGGTTCATTGCGACCTTTGACAATGCACTCTTGATCGTACTTCTCTTTCTTCTTAGAAGGCCATGTAGATTTAACAAAACCAATTCCTGCATGAGTATTCTTGATTTCGCAGTATGGTGAGTCTGTCTCAATCATCATTCTCTCAATAGGAATATCCTTCACGACATCAAGGTTCTCAGTTGTCTTCAGAGAGCACCCATTTATGCCTGTCACAGTACCAAAGATGTGTCCCGTTCATGGGATTTAACTAGAATTTTAGTATTCAATTATCAGAATCCAATATCTGAAAGTAAAAATTTATGCTAGTTAACAAGATGGAAATAGATATGAGAAGACACCAACAGCCTCTAAGGAAACACACAATTAGACTTTACATATACAAACACACCATTTATAGGTTTATCTTCTTTGTCTTTTTATGATATCAAATGTTCCAAAACAGCAAAACTAGTTATGCCAAAACACAAAGCTTTCCTAAAGTATTATTATCTTTTTATCCAGGGAACATGCAATTAGCACAACAAAAGCTTGTGGTTATATTTTTGGAAAGGCAAAGTCTAACATTAGACATACCTAGGTGACTCCAAATAGGTTAACGAATATAATAAATCTTGAAAAGATGGACTTACCTATGTACATTTTATCAAATGAGAGAAGCTTAATGCAATCGTCCATACTACCAGTAAATGAATGGGTGACTCCAGCTGTGAACCTGTCATATAAGTAGAAATGTTTAGTTCATTTACACCTTGAAGTTATTATGCCATCAAATACAAGCAATTAAACGAATTCACTTTTATGTTAATAGTTTAATACTTAAATTATGGGCTTGTATATTAGGCATGAGGGGGAATAAGATAGAAATGACCTCAAGGTAATTCATTTCTCATTTGCAAGTAATTCTTGTATTATATGTGCTGTCAAGGCCTCAAGGTAATTTTTCCAATCCTTCAAATGAAAAGTTTGAAAAGAACCATAAGTATCTCCAAACCCACCCAATGCGCTTGCTCTGATGGATCTTGAACCCTTTATATCTGTTTTTCCCTATAATTCCTGAAGTTGAAAGCAGAAACAACATAGCCAAGGGTGGCAACAATACTTTCTAATCCTTAAAATTATGTTCATTTCTCGAAATAAATAGAATGACAAGCTAAACAAGAGACACATTAAAGTAGCATGATTTAAATACTAACAATTTCAAAATAGAATGATCCAGTAATCACACCTGTCTTTATTTTTCTCAACTATTTCACAGAAATCCGCAGCAGCTGCTCGCATGTGCAAAAACATTGGCAGTTTTGTTATATATGCTAATTCAAATTGCTTCTCAAAATACCTTGCTTTCACAAGAAAAAAAAAATTATTAATGATTTTAATATATTATACAATAACAGGAAGAGAAAAAGAGCTAAAGTGACACATATAGAACAACAATGGTGCAGTGACTGCATACTTCTTTTGAATCTCTACAGGGCAAAAATGAAGTCTGTCATAGTCCAATCCACATTCTCCAACTGCAACCACCTTGATATGAAGAGAAAGAAAAATATAACAGTTATTTCTAAATGGTTACTTGGGCCATAGTTTCAGAACTAGAATAGAAGTTCTGAAATTTTATAAGATAACAACATACAACGTGACAATGTTTGGTGAGCAATATTTATTAGAAAGGAGGAGGACTACAACTATTTTTAACAAAAATACTTAGTAAATAAATCAATTAATATTTCAGAACTATGTAGGTCTGAAATATCTAGTTTAAATTAGAGATGGTTAATAGTAATCTTACCGCTAGAGTATAAGCATACCTTTCCTTTCTGAATTCCCTCATTAGCTAAGGACAAAAGAGCCTGAAAATGCTTTTCTGGATCTCCACTCTCCTCAAATTCCTGAACCAATTCAGTAAATCATAGTTACAATTTACAAACAATTCCATCCAAACAACTGCTCTGAAGAGGAGCTCCTAAAGGAGAAAAGCAACCTTGCAACGTGTTGGATGCACGCCCACTGTGCAGAAAAGTCGTCCTATAAAAAAAACAATAAATCATCAAATTACTGAAAAGCCACAATCTGCATTTGAAAGTCATATAGAGAAAATGACAATAACATGACAAACCATCTGTTTCTGCAATTGCAAGCGCTTCTCTTGATTCCTCAAGGGACCCCCCAGTTACCTGCAACACAAATAGCAAGTCCTGACCGTAAACCATCCACACATAGAACACAATTTACATTTATGGGATCAATTTGATAACTTTATACAAACAAACAGAAACAAATGCCTTCATTTTGAGCAGAATTATCATTTTATACCACCTCTGTACAAGGGAATCACCCCTTCAGGCTCTGGAACTTTTTTAGCAGAAGAATTCATGTTCATTGCCTTAAATCACCGGAGAATAAATCGTGTTAATTGGTGCTTGAAGTTTTATAGGATAATAGGGTTTCAACTTATAATTTCATAAACTAACTTTCAAGCCTGAATTTCACTTAATCTTCTCAATTATTAATTAAAGCACAATAATGAACACTCATAATTAAACTTCACATTATAGATTTAAAAGCTTCCTCGACAAATAGCCAAGTAATTTATATATTACGAAAGAGGAAAAGGGTATACAATAATTCGGTGGACACCAGCAGCCCAAGCTCTGCTCAAAACCGTTGGTATATCCGCGACGTGACATTGCTTGCCGTTATAGATTCCCTTAAACATGCCATCTGCACTTTTGATTGAATTAGAGAGACAATAGAATATAATAGAATATAATAGAATAGGATACACGAAACAAGTGTTTGATTAAATGCCTGACCTGTGAAGTTGACGGCTATATCTGCATATTGTTGCGATAGAGAAACATAATATCAGTTTCAGTTTGAAGCTCAATCTTAAAGGTGACTGTGAATTAAACAAGTTAGTTAGTTACCTATCATTCGAATAGCTGCCATGCCTGATTGTCTCAAACACAAACAATAGAGTGTGACCTTGGAAGCTGAAGACACATTGCTCCGCGACATCACAGACAGCAATGTAATTGGGCCTGTCCGTTTTGTGGGCTGGGCCCAAATTTTAAATGGGCCTCCACACAAGCATTAAATTAATCCCCTCCCGCTTAGATGACTCATCAGTCATCACAAGTTCGCTTATGTTACACCTTCACATAACTTATGGTTTATTAATAAATTAATGACATAAGGAAATAAAAACAATTCATTCATGTCTTTCTATAAAAAAATTTCAAACAAAAGAAATTTTGACTATCTGCGTTTTTTTTATGTTCGGCGTCTGTAAATTTTTTACTCGTTTTTTAACCTTAAGCTACTCGTTTTTTTTTCACTCGTGTACGCCTGGGGAATAGATCCTCTTAGTGAAACATGATAAACAAGACGTAAAGAGAAAGTTAAGTATTAGAACAAAGAGTGACAATTAATTTGTCCATTAGCGACTAACATGCACGGTTTCACATGGAACCGGTTTGATTTATTTTTTTTGTTTAACTAAAAACTACTTTTAAGTTGAAGTTTAAAAAAAAAAAACTTAAAAAATAAAGGTAAAAGTTGTTCTAATAATTTTAAAAGATGGAAGATGAAACTACGTGGGGTGGACGTGATGATTCAGCATCTCGTCCCTTAAAGCAAGTGGTTGGGGGGTTTGAACCCCAACCCTTGTGAAAGGAAATCATTTCGTGGCCAGCTCTTTATCGTTTTGTGCGCTGACTCAGGGCGAGGGATTAGTCTCATGGCTGTCGGCGGTGAAAATATTCGAATGTAATCAAAAAAAAAAAGGATGGAAGATGAAATAATTTATTATTAAAATAAATTATTATGGTAAAAGGTATAATTTATAAATATAAACTTAAAATAAAGTTAAAATTATGAAAGAAATATGAAAACTCTAAAAAGCTGACATAATTCTTTAAAAAACTCTTTTTAAAAACTTTTTGCTTTTACGTTTTTTTTTTCATTATAAAAAAGCTTATTTTATAATAAATTTTTTTTTATAAAATTATGTTTGGTTAAACTTCTACTTATAAAGAAAAAAGAAACTTAAGACATGTGTACACATAAAATTATGAGATGCCTAGTGCGTGAGAATTTGTAAGAAAATAAGCTAAAGGAAAGGAATAAGCAATGGTTAAAGGACCTTCCCACACATATTTCGTGTATAAGGTCCGGTAGAAACATACAATAATTAGATAAACTCCTTCGAAATAACATATACGTAACTCATCCATATTATAAACATTTTAAAAATCAACATTAAAAAACTATTTCGAAACTTTTAGAAACTTAAATAAATATACATACAAGAATGTATCCAAAAATAATAAATGTATGCGAAAACATAGGTCATGCCATGCCTCCAATATTATTATGCATCCGATGGTAACTGTTGACCTTCCCACATTTGTTTGTTTCCATTTCCATGAACAATAATTACAATATCATCCCGCCGTATTGTCTTCGTTCTCTTCTCTTCTCTTCTCCTTTATTTCGAACAGGCCCAAAATAGCTTGAAAAGTGGTTTAGCTCCTCCAGCCACAGTGCTAGCAACACCTAACCTAACTTAATCTAATTAACCCCTGATTCTAGAAACCGAGCTTCTAAAATCTTCAAACAAATACTAAACAACGGCAAGAAAAATCACAACACGCGACCAAAAAGAATATATAATAATTACAAAAAAAGAAAAGCATTATTCTCGTGCGAAGGTCAAGGCGGCTTGAGTTGACTTTGACTAAAAGGTTTTGATATTTGATTCATATTAGCCACCACTGACCAATGACCATATTTGACAAGATGATCAGTTTCTTAAAACAATAGGGAGAACTATAACCAATATGATAATGAGCAACAGTATGATGGCAATACAGCTCCATTTACGGGTATTCTTCTGATGCTTCCTAGCGACCTGCAACTGCTGTGTCCCTCCCCTCACGTACGAATTCGCTCTTGCCACGTGGCTCTCTATGTCATCCAATTGTTCCCCTTGTGTTTGCACCAACACTGCCATGTCCATGAACACCTGATGCAGCTCCTTTAGATTCCTCTCTATCTCTCTCACCGCACCATGCCTCTCCTTGATCTCTTGGATCGTGTCCATCACGCTCGCTCTACCTTGTTGTTGTATGGCTTTCTGTAAGAATGTTTCACTCTCACCTGTTCCACCATAACATGTACCATCAATTTCACACTTCACCTTAATCTCACAACAATAATCAAAAGAAGAAAATATTTTCGATACCGATTACTCGTATGAAAAAAATTATGATATTTATGCTACCCTCTGTATCCTTTTTTTTTTTTTTCCTTTGTTGTACCAAGATTAGTAAGAGAGGTGAATAAATAAAAATTAAAAAAAAAACTCGATTCGATTTCTACATATTATTTTTTAGAATAGTTTAAATATTTTTATTTCTAATCCGTCACACTCTAGATTAATCTCGTAACAGGCTAAAGAGTTAAAATTTGTGAGACACCGCAACTTGCGTATTTAATTGGGGTTGAGTTAATTTCAAAAAAACAAAAATAATAATAATAATTGTTACCGGTAGAGATGAGGAGGTCAACGGTTTTGTCATCCGGATTTTCACCGGTGACAGTGTAGTATCTACGTTGTACGGTGTCTCTGTACTCTGAGGATATCTGCTCCCTAAGGTTGTTGAAACTCTCCATGGAATCTTTCAGGTTCTTCCTCAACCCGCTCACCACGGAGGTCCGGGTTCGGTCGGAGGACGAACCGGGTCCGCAACCGGGCAAGGACCTGCTGGTTTCGTTGGACCGGTCGAGGGCCTCCAACCGGACTTTAACCAGCTTGGCTTTCTTGAGAGAGAGAGTCACGTCAGAGTCCATGCGAGAACGAAGGTCCTTGACAGCTTTGGCGCTGTGAAGGGTCTTGCTTTGTTCGTTGGAGGATCGAAGGCTATGGTGGAGGCGCTCTAGTTCCTTGAGCTCCTCCTTAACAGACTCCACTTCCTCGAAGAACTTTTCAAGGTTCATGGTTCCTTCAGCCATCTCGATCACATGCTGGTGATTTTTGCTGTTGGGGCTAGATAACAAGTCGTTCATTCTCTCGCTCGCGTTTTGTTTACCCTAACACAGATGAGGAGGAGGATATTGGAGATAAGAAGCAAGTTCCTTTGAGAATGTGAATGATCAAATGAAATGGGTTGTGTTTTAATTTTTAAGACTGTTTCTTATACTTTTTGAGTTTTGAATGAAAAGTTTATGGTTTTTTAAATAAAATAAATGAATAGGTGGATGTGGGGGTGAGACCTGTTCAAATTCAACCCTTTGTACTTGTAGCAGACACATGAGAGGAGAGAGATTGTTAACAGGTCAAATGGGTTAATGGAATTTTTCTTGTTTCTTTTTTATTCTTATAAATTAAGGAAAGAAAGTATACAAGGAGGAAGCACCTTAGAAAGTTCGTGGGATTGGCACTTGGCAGAAATAGATGAAAGAAAAAAGGTTAGGTTACGTGAGAAGATTAGTTATAAACTATAATTGAGATGTGGTCTTCGTATGCGGCCTATGGTGTGTAGCGGCCAAAGAAGAAGAAGCTTCCAATGGATCTTTTTAGCTCGTTTGAGTTTAAGTGTTATAATAAATAAACAAAATAACTATTACATAGATATATGCTTAATCCAATGAATAAAATTTTGAAAACTCATTAAAGATAATGAGTAAAAGATTGTCATATAAATAATTATTGCTTTAACTATTCTAACTTTAGTAAATTAATGTTTGTTTATAAAAATAAGTTCAAAACAACTTAATTATTGACTAAAATCAATTTATAAGTTATTAATTAATCGGAATGCAGAGCGAAAGAGAAAGGAGGACAAAAGGGAATCACAAAGAGGCTTATAGTTCAGAACTTAAAACACGAGTAGGGGAGGCTAAAGCAGTGGATGTCTTGAGATCATGGAAACTTCGTGTTCCTTACTTGAGTTTGAGTAGAGGTGTAAATAGATTAGGCTAAGTTTTGTCTTAAATATGTTAAGTCTGTGTTAAAATATTAGGTCTGGATATGTTAACCTGTTTAGGTCCCAAATTACAAGTCTGACTTTACCTATATTTAAGAAATAAAAACTTTGGCCTAGGTCTGTTTATTAAACATTCAACAATTAAAAGAATAATTACAATAATATTACTTTACTATTTAAAATTATTAAAATAATAATTTTATTTATTTAAAATAAATATGATATAGGCCGACCTGTGGGTTTACAAGTCCGACATGTACAAAAAAATGGCCTGTTTTTTAAATAGATTTTTTTAAAAGCCTATGTCTGTTATATTTTACTATTTATAATAGGTCAAACCTGGTCTAATATAGGCTAAGTCGTAGGTGCCTGTAGGCCAACTTAACTCATTTACATCCCTATTCACGAGACATTTCAAAAGGAAATTGGACTTAGAATTGGAGTTGATTAATTTCCAATTTTTTAGACTGGTTATTTTAAAAATTGTATATAACCTAACAAGTGATCTCGAGTACTTCCAATCATGTATATGCAATTATGTTAAAAATTTAATAGTTTTGTCACCTTTATAGTCTTGTCCGGTTTAATTGGATTAATAGATTAATCACAATTAACGGATAAAGAAATCTCCAAAAATATAAAAATTGTACCCACCTTTGCTCCAAAAAAAAAAAACTGAAAATAAAAATCTGCGTTATAATTAATTTGCATCTACGCTTTTTTCTTTCCAAAACCAATGGTGGTGCATTCTTCATCCCTGCTTTCACACACATAAATATGAATGAGATGATGCAATGGATATGTCAAGCATAGAGGAAAGGGAAGATAATTTCCACCAACAAGAAATGGTATTTGATAATTCTAAAGAATATCGAGTATAAGGAATTGCATTCTAATGGTGACAGCGCAAAATTTTCAATTTCAGAAATGCACTACGATGTTCGTTGACTTTTTAATTTTTATATCAAATAACTACATTTGCTCACTGATAAAACGCAGATTCAATTGGAAGACATTAATCAAATATGACACTAATTTTTTAAAAATATTTGGACAGATTAAACTAAACTTTTCATGCACGTAAGCCAGAGGTGTTTCCACATATATTTGAGAAAATCCGTCCATGTGAAAATGACTTCCGAGACTAAGAAGAAGAGAATTCATGATGAATTTCTCTATATTTTTCTATGTAATTAGAGTACCAAGATTAGAGTAAATTAGAATTTCTCAATTTTACGAGAACGATGAATCTTTCCGCTAAAGAGTATCAAAGGATATATATGTCTATGACTTGGATTATTTCATCAAAGTTGCTACAACTACAAACTCATGTTGTTTCACCACCACCGTATAAGAAATCAACCTCCACATATAAAACAAAATGAAATAAAAAAAGCAGATAAATCTAGCCGTTTCATGCAAGACAATGACATTTGTACCCGCACTCCCCCCCTTAAAGAAATATAGAACACAAAAGTTAGATCCACGAGTTTCTTTGATTAATTATTAGCATAGTTATCTCGTACACTGTATGATTCACATGGCCAACAATATATATCTTGAAGTGTATCAAAACGAGATTTTTATCGAAGGATACAATATTATATCATATGATACGAAATTATACAGGTATTATACGATACGAAAATTCAATCAAATTTTTAAATTTTTAACACTATATAACTATCCGAAATACGTAGTGTTAAAAATAAAAAAGATGTAACTTTAATCCTTTAAAAAGACAAATAATTTTCCCTCTATATAAACCATCAGTCAAAAAATGTTACTGATCCGACCCATAAGATACTTACAGAAAAAGAATGTGATGCCCAAAATACTAATCTCCAAACTTTGGTCACACCTGTAGGACTCCTTTCAAATAATGTGGCATTGCATGTGTCACAATCCCTTGCCAGATCCCAAAACATAAAAGTTCAAGATAAATGAAACCAAAAAGAATATTAACAAGGTTAAGCTGCAGGAGGAGGAGGAGGTGTTTGAACCGGAGAAGGGTGGCTACCATTATTATTACCAACACTGGAATATAGTTGCCATGGTCTCACAGTGAAGAGCACCACAAACAAGATGATAACTAGAAGAAGGATAATAGCATAACAGGTCCATTTCCGGGTGTTCTTCTGGTGATTCCTTGCACTCTGCAGCTGCTGAGTCCCACTCATCACAAACGAGTTAGCACTTGCCAAGTGGCTCTCAATGTCATCCAAATGCTCACCTTGAGATTGCACCATCACTGCCATGTCAAGGAACACTTGGTGCAACTCCTTAAGATTCTTCTCCAACTCTTTCACAGCATCATGCCTCTCTAGAATCTCATTAATGGTGTCCAGAATTCTACCCCTGCCATGCTCCTGAATGGCTTTCTGAAGGAAAGTTTCACTCTCACCTGCATCAAAAGTCAAACTCACATTTACATAACCTCCAAATTTGCATCAAATGATTCAAACCAAAGGTATACGAAAGGATCACCACAAACACATACACCAATCTCACATCACATGTATGTAAATTCCAATTCTAAATACCCATCTTTTGAGTCAATGACAAAAGACTACTCAACAATAAAAAAAAAAAACCGGTCTTTTTCTAAAAATGAATAAATATTATAATTTGTTTCTCCACCTAATTAGCAGGAGGATTAAATGTAAAAAGGGAAATATTCTTATTATCAAAAAAATTCCTTACCAACTCAGTATATATCTAATTATTGCTGAAAAATTTCTGAAAAAAAGAGAAAGTAATAATCAGTGGTGATTAGGTAGATGATGGATTGACAATGAATTTTTTTTTATAATAAGAAAATCCCCTCTAAATTTAAAAATATCTTCAAAATATGAATGAAGCCCAATTAAGCCCAAAATGTGAAACTATCACAATTAGTGTTACCCGTAGAAATATAGAGGTCAAGGGTATTGTCGTCGAGATTCTCGCCGGTGACGGTGAAATATCGGCCTTGTACGGTTTCACGGTATTCTGAAGAGATATGCTGCCTGAGGTCATTGAAGCTGTCCATGGAGTCCTTGAGCTTCTTCATCAACCCGTAAACCACGGAGGTCCGGGTCCGCTCCGAGGTTGACCCGGGTCCGCACCCGGGGAGGCTCCGATTAACGGCATTGGAGCGGTTCAGTGCCTCCAATTTGTGCTTAAGGAGCTTCGCTTTCTTGAGAGCGAGTGCCACATCAGCGTCCATGATGGAACGAAGGTCCTTGACGGCGTTGGCATGGTGAAGGGTCTTGCTTTGCTCGTGGGAGCTCTTGAGGCTGTGCATGAGTCGCTCCAGCTCCTTCAGCTCCTCCTTGATCGCCCCCACGTCTGAGAAGAAGTTGTCAAGGTTCACTCCGCCGGCGGCGGTCATCTCAATGACTTGGTGATCCGGCGACGGCAACGTTTGGACCCCGCTGAAGGAGGAGGTGGAGAACAAGTCATTCATCGTTTACAAATGCTTGGGGAAACAGGTTTTGGTTTTTGGCAAGGTTGTTGAATAGCACGATGCATTGTGTATAGATTGGGCGGTTTTTTATATCGTGTTTAGTGAATCGAATCAAATCTTAAGATACATGAATATAATTAACGGGCGAGGTTTGGGGGGTGAGAGGGTTAATATGCATGCAGGGTCGAATTTCTGACCCCAATCTAAGAGAGAGTGGGTCAGGTTTGAGCCGGGGGTCCGAACAGGGACTGCTACAGCATAAGAAAAATTAAATTATATATATGGAAAATTGACTCTCATGTTAATCACCCGGGGTTTAAAATTTTAATTCGGGATCCGCTCCAAATTAGATTAGTTGTGAAGTGATGAATTGATTGAAATATTTTAAAAAAGAAAACGAAAAAAATTCTATTATGCACACATATAATAGAGAAGAGGGAATAAAGGGCAAACAAAAATATTGAATGTGCCTCACTTTTAATTTATGCGTGCATAAGAGAATTTTTTTATCATGTAACATGAGTCTATTTCACTATATATATATATATAGGGGCAGGATATTCTTACACCGGTGTAAGAGTTAGAAGTCTTACACTCAATCTTGACCATTGATCCACTTGTATACAATGGCTCACATTATTAAAAAATTAGAGCCCTTAGATATAAGTGGGATCAACGGACAAGATTGAGAGTGTAACTTACACTGGTGTAAAATGATCTTGACCCATATATATATATATATATATATATATATATATATATGTATGAGGTAGGATTCTTTGACACCATTGTCCACCTCATCTGAGGGTCATTAGATCAAAAAAGATCAATGGTGTCACATGCTTACAAATTAGAGTCGTTGATCTTTCTTGATCTAATGACTCTCAGATGAGGTGTCAAATTTCAAATTTGACACCGGTGTCAAACTTTGAAATTTGACATCAAATCCTAACTGTTGATTTTCGTCAAACAATGGTTATCATGTATTGAGAATTAATAATTAATTAATAAATTTGAATCCCAATAAATGATAATTATTGATTGGCGAAAATCAACAATTAGAATTTGGTGTTAAATTTTAAAATTTGACACCGGTGTCAAAAGATCTTATCTCTTATATATATTTGCAATAGGATATTCTAACTGCTTTCTTTTTCTTGCCTACCTATTTTCAATATCATTGGATCAGAATCTTGCTCTTTCTCTTTTCTCTTGAAATTCTGATCAAATAATATTGAAAATAAATAGGTAAGGTAGGAAAGAAAAAAAAGATGGGTAGAAACAATTAACCATCCAACGGAAGAAAAGTATTTTGTGTGTGTGTGTTTAATTTTACATCAAAGATACACAAATATTTTCTGACATGTGTTGGTTCAAGTGAAAGAACTTTGAGTCTCTTAAACATGGGTTGAAAAATTTAAATATTACAAATTAAATAAGAAAATATGAAAAATAATATTTTGAAATTTATTTACCAATGTATAGCAACCAGTTGTGACCAAAATAGGATGCATCGTTTGCGGTCAAAAGTAGACACATTATGGGCAAGGTCACGCCCAAATTTGAGCGCGCGTGATGACACATGGCACAAAATGCTTCCTAGCCCATTTTGAAAATTTAGGATTTAGGGTTTTTTTGGAAAATTAACAGGGAAGCATTGTTTTGGAAAATTTTTTTACCAAATCCTCTTTGAGATTTGTCATACGTGAGTCGGATACCTGAGTCAAAACTTATGACCTTTCAAATTTTTACGATAAAACTATTAAAAATTTTGTGCCACGTGTTTGGGCGCGACCGAACCCCTAACGATCCTACTTTTTGGTACGACCAGTCCTACCCTATTTTGAACGCGAGTGGTTGCTATACATTCTCAAATAAGTTTTGAAATGCTACTTTTTCATATTTTCTTATTTAATTTGTAATATTTAAATTTGTTTGTCCTTAAACATGTGTCTTGAGTTTATGATATTTATATATGTGGAGAAAAAATACTATTGAGACATATCTCTGCCTTGGAACGACACCTGAACCAATTCCATGACATTAGTCTTCCAATACCATATGGAAAGATTCTATTAAAAAACCAAAAATGATAATAATCATTTAAAAGTTACGTATATACTTTTAAAAAGTTATTAGATTTTATATTGAAGTGAAATATTCTTACTACCAAATGTTCCTACTATTAATCTACAATCACTTTTCAGCCATTGGATCTCACTTTTCGACCGATAATCTTTGAAAAATTTCTGAAGAAAAAAAAAATAACTTTTAATAAATTTCCAGAAATACATAATTATATTATAGTGGTAGTAAATTTTGATAATAGGAACTTTTGATAGTAAAAATATCCTATCTATCTTATATTTTAACCCTTATCACATATTTATCATTCAATTGTCTTCTCTTAAACTCGTGATAAGCCATTTTTACAACCATAACTTCTTCCTTTTTTAAAAATAAAAATAATAGGTGCAAGAGGAAGAAAAAGAAACGAAAGGTCAATGCCTTGTTTATTTGTGCTTTTCCTTTAAAAGAAAAACATTTGAAAATTTCCATCGCAGCTGTAATTTTCTATTTAAAAAAAAGCAAAAATCTCTTAAAAAAAAAGTTTAGTACTTAATTCAAAAGATGAAAAAAATAACTTCTAAAAATAAAATAATATCATACAACTCCTTGCATCAATTTTACACTTAAAATAGAGTCGGTGTCAATTTATTCATCCAAGTGTCTACCCACCCTAACTCAAAATTTGAACCTCTAATCAATGTTCACGTGTCTTTATGCAGCCTCAACTTAGTGAACAAGACAAAGCATTTTCTTTAGTACTGCACTTCTTTCTCAACTTCTAATTTTTAGAAAATGGTACTTACAAACAATAGCTCATATTACATCAATCAATACTTTCTTTTTCCTTCATCCGTTCTTTTTCTTCGTCAAAAACAACAACGCACTTTACAATGTGAGTTGTGTGAATAACATTGGAAGGAACTTATATCATTAACATACTATACATGTCCCTTTCCTTATTAAAGCTCAAACAAGTCCACCCAACATCCAATGCAAATTTTCAACACACATGAAAAGTGCAACTAACCTTGCTGACACCTAGTTCAGCTTAAAGTTTATCCACTGTTAAACTTTTTATATTAACACTAAAAAAAATCACATTACTGTAATAATAAACTTATACTCTTTGATCAAATCATCGCAAATAATTTGTAAATAACTTTTTACACTGTAACAAGCCTTCCTGTCTTACAGCTCTGCAAGTCTTAAAACTAAAGCACTCTGAACTGCTTTCGATCGTATCTAGAAAATTGAGAAAGAACAATAACCAATTCTTCCGCTGCTTACACCGTGCATCCCACCTATAGGGGTAAAAACTCTGATTCGATTACATGTGCTCAACAATGCCTTTCCATCCTTTGTTAACGCGCTGTATACCAAAAACTGTTGAGATTGTCTTTACAAAAAATAATTGCTAGCCTGTTCAAATCTAGCCAGTCCAAATGCGCTAGCCCTGTTCCATGAGTTGTATGTTTTCACCGTCATATCGTTTGGACAAAAAGAACTTGCGTTCTACCATTTTTTCACCGAACTTTTTACATGGTTCCTTGATCCTATTGACGCTTAACAATATATGGAAACGTATTTTATATATACAGCCCACAGTTACAAATCAGATCAAAAATTCTCGTGAGTGATAAATGGGCAGCAAAACATTTACCAACTTCTCAAGTGGATTGGAGCACAGTAAGATAGTATTTATAGCCCTGGCACTTGCCTGAATGTTGCCTCTTTTCATCACTGTCTCCCTGACCTTTAGATGGAAGATTCCAATTCAAAACATAATTTGACAAGTCATACGTCCCCGGAGAGAACACACAGATCTGAAGTGGAATTTCTGCCGAGGACATAGGCTCAAGGTGGAGACCGGTTGAGCTTGATCCAGACCAAATGTATGGCGAGACACTTTCCATTGAAAGTACCTTACCTCGTTGGTTTTCAAGAACATTTGATGTGACTTTGAGTTCATTCACTGGTGCGACATCATGCCACCCTGCTTGGTTATCAGGAGTTGCTGATTGAACCACACTTACAATGTTCGTATGACCACCATTACCAGCATAATCTAAAGTGTCAATGCGCACAAAAGCAGTGACACCAGATGAATTGTAAAAAAGCATCTTCAGATTTATTTCACAGAAGGATGCAGAGAAGTCATGATGCAAGGTTTGAGGTCCATCCACTAGCCAAGAAATAGGGCCCGTGCTAGCAGTACTATCAGGAGACAGAAAAAGATCAACAAAAACCCCACAAAAAAGGCAAGTAAATAACATACACATGAATATATCAAATTTATCATAAAATCAAAATCCGAAGCATTATGTATGTAATGAAACATGCCTGAAGTGACACGCATGATGAGACATAACATGAGGAGGATCAGAAAAACCAGGATTGTTGTTACTCTTGAGTGGCCGAGAGATCAATACAAAATCAACAGTATTTAAGTCACCCTGATCCTACAAACAGATGAAGCTCGTGTCAGTAATAGAAGAGAAGAAACAATGATATAGATTGAGTCAATCCTAAATGTTCTATGATGAACAAGAAATCAAATTTGTCCTTAAAATTTTGAAATTCCTTAATCTAGAAACTAAGCCAGCTGCTGTCATAACAAATTAAGAACATTCTGAAATATTCATTAAATAATGAAATATTCTCATAATCTAGCTAACTAGTTAGCTATCCAACGAAAAAAAATGAAATCTAGTGATACAATAAAAAATCAATATAGATAAAAATATGTTCTAATAGCTAATTGAAACTTTGATACTTTTCTTGCTCTATTCTTATTGTTCATATTAGGCCTACAAATAATTTTTTAAAAAAAATGTAGTAAGCTAAATAAGAAATAGCAATAAAAGATAGCTTACTGAATTGAAGTATTGAATAGATTTCAAAAAATTTAAGTATTAAATTGATCAATGTTAAAGTTTAACGAAGAAATTCATAATGAGCAATTTGCCAAAGTTAAGTCGTGTGTATCATTTTTGAACTGATTTAAAAAATTTCATGTCATTTATCAGTAGTTTAATGGATGCGAATTGCAAACTTTGATATTACATTGAATTTTTGTATTGCACTCACACCAAGCATGAAATCAGAAGACTACTGATTTTAAAGGAATATTTTTTTCAGTGGAAAAAAATTATTATTAAAAATAAGAGAAGTACAATAGGGAGATGATAAAATATCCTAGAGTTCAGGAAAAATAAAACAAGACAATATAAAAGTAAGGAAACAATTAGAAATATAATATAAAAATAGAGCGAGAATCCACTTACCACCACTAAAGTATACCACCTTTACAACCAATATGATTACCGTTGGATTAAAATTAAATCTAATGGCTCATGATTAATCATTATAATCCTAATTTTTTACCTTTCATTCTCTCACATCTTCTCTCATCCTCTCACAACTCTCTCTAGGTCTCCGTATTTGATCCTTTTTTTCTAGGGTTTACAGACGCTGAATCCGTTTTTTTCATAGTTCAAGATAAAGTTGTTCCATTCTTATCATCCAACTCGATTTACTATTTCGATTTCAAGTAATTAAAAATCGTATGCTGAATCATGTAATCCCTTAATTAGAATGCCTCGGTTCACTACAATGGTTACTGAAACATTATTGTTTCGATTTCAAGTAATTAAAAATCATACGCTGAATCATGTAAAGTACTTTGTCATCAGGCAAAAGATGTGCATTTTCACGAGTTGGAGCATCAAAGTCCAGGTGATGAACAACGTTCATGTCATAACTCTTGAGCAAATAATAAAGGTGCTAGCTACTTGGAGAATATATAAGGAAAAGATAAAAAATGGTAGTCTCAAATCATAATAAACAACGACACTTCCAGAGTTGAGGTTGATTTCTCTGCCATTTAACAAGAAAAAAAATGGAAATCGTTCCAATCCCCGCTGATACCTACACTCTGGGCTTCATCGGCGCCGGAAAAATGGCCCATGGGTGCAAGGAAATACATCTCAGTTAGGTACTTTGGAATGGCAATTCATATTTCGGAAGAACTTTACCTTGAAATATGAAAAAAAAAAAAGGATCAAATACGGGGAGACCTAGAGAGAGTTGTGAGAGGATGAGAGAAGATGTGAGAGAATGAAAGATAAAAAATTATGATTATAATGATTAATCGTGAGCCATTAGATTTAATTTTAATCCAACGGTAATCATATTGGTTGTAAAGGTGGTATACTTTAGTGGTGGTAAGTGGATCCTCCCTCATAAAAATAATATAAAATCTTTCATCTGCTTTCACCTAACAACTTAAACTTGTGGGAGAGTTGGTTGCTTAATAGTGATATTAGAGCCAATTGTTTGGCTGGGCCCCAGTTGGGCAAGCCATGTGTTTGGCTAGGGTGAGTATTTGGAGACGGTGGTTGATTCAGTTTGGGCTTGTTATCTCTCAACCATGTTGTGAAGCCAAGTGTTAAATCTTGGTTTAACCCCATAAAATACTAGAATAAGCTTCCGCTTGCAGGGGAGTAAATGGTGGGCTTGAGACTCACACTTGAGGGGAAGAATGTTGGGAGTTAAAATGTGAGTGAAAAAGTCTCACATGTTAAGAATGGATTAAGCGAGTACCATGTAAATGGAAAGGCATATGAACCGAATGCCTTAAGGTTTTGTGTTGAAACATAAAGTCAAGCTCACTTAGTTTGTTAATTTCGAGCTCCCCCAATATGTGCTTAACAAGTGAAACAAAGAAACTAGGACTGCAATAGGGCAACCCCATCCCATTATAAATACGGTGTGCCAATACTCATGAAGCAACCATGGGCCAAGCACCAAAGAGAAGCTAAGAATATAATCCTATCCCAAAGAAAATTTATGGGCAAGGAAAATCCCTTTGCGTACAATGCAGATTTTAAGAAAATAATAGTAATGGTAGAAGTGTGCTTGGTTGAGTTGGTGAAAAGATTTGCAATGAATATATATTTACATTTGCTTAGTACCCAAAAATAAAGGCACGGGGAGAAAAAAATTGATTTATGTTCACACTTGGCTAAAAATCATTTTTAACACATCATCTGCTTTCCACCTTCCCACTTTCACCTACTCAACCAGGCAATACCTAAATAATGATATGAAATTCAACTGAAAAAAAAAAAAAGATACAGTTTGGTTGGACAATATAAAAACAAAATAAATGTCTACCTCGTGTGACAGTTCCTGCTGCAATCTTTCGTAATGGTGGAAATTGACCAAAGGTGCACTGTTTATATTGTAGACTAAATCCTCACTGCTTTGGGGAACCAATCTTACATCACCGGTGACAGGAATGGTAGATATACTGTCCTCTGATGATGATAATCTCCTTGAGTTCTGAAGGAAAAAATAGCCTAATTTAGAGAACTGTAATCATCATGTGCACACACACACAGACAAACAAATCTTAAGTGGCCAGCACATCGTGAACAAAAGCATACAAAAATAATGGATATATAATAGAATAATACTAAATGGTTTGTCAGATGAAACCAAGTCGAGAAAACAGGCAAGCTAGATAACTGAGCATTTGAATATGCGGATTCTGAAATATTGAAACGTAGACCATCCCTGAGCTTCGGCATCTAAGTTTTTCACTAATCAATCATTCTATTTTTTTCAGGTTATTTCAGAAGGAAAAAAAATTAGAAACAGTCTTTCAGAGAACAATAAAGAAAAATAATCTATATAAACAAGATTATTAGATTAAATTACCAAATAAAACCGCATAAAATCAAATAATCTCAAGAAGCTGGGATTTATCTAAGTTCAATATGATCAAACAATACAAAAACAAGTTAAAGGAATTTTCTTTTCTCTAATATACGGAGAGAAAAGAAATGGTGATAGACAATTTGATCAATAACATGTTTTACAACAAAATAACCACTAAAAGATTCATGCAGCCCAACATTTTGTTTCAAGTGACCCGCCCTTAATTGGAATTATCCCTATAACTTATCTGTTTAAAGTACATCATCAATTAAAAATATGTATATTATACCAATTAACAAATTACTTATCCTTTTTTTCACATTTCAATAACACCCCCCAAATGAAACCTGTTTGCCATTACGAAAATATGTTACATTGATGAATCACAAAATCAAAAACTATATCACTGACCTTTAGCGTGAAGAAACACGATATTGCTTGGCCAGCCATCAACATTGGTGAAGGAAAAATAGTATCAGGAGATTGAAGTAATGAGATTTCCCAGTGGTGCCCAATAGATGACAACTGATAAACTTGGAAACTTTCTGAGTTTGTCTTGTTAACAACATCCAATCGAACGAGAAATTCTTGTATTCTTAATCGAGAAGGACTGATTTGAAATGAGACATCCAATGATGGTAATACCTATGATCACCAAATTTTAGCACTTGAGAATTAACTAGGTCTATATCTAGTAAATATGGAAATGAGTCATTTAACAGAAAAAAAATTTTACTCAAATAATGCAGTGAAAAATCATAGAACATAATAATTCAATTATTTTTTATAGACACCATTGTAAAAAAAATTACAATATAAAGAAAGAAAATAAAACCAATGAAGCCCAAAAAGTTGCACTGTTTGTATCCGTTTACTAACCTGCACACTGTAATGCAAGCGAAGAGTGCGATATTTGATGACAATTGATATATCTCCCATCTCATAATATATGCTCATGTAAAGAGAAATATCACCCGGAACAGCAGCTCTAAACCAAAGAGGCCACAAGAAAGGTGTTTCCCCTTGAACTGAAGTGCCCTGAAATGAAGTGTCATTCATGTGACCAAGTCCATAGATGCATTGAGATCAAATTCCTAATACACAACTTACATTGTAAAGATTCAATACTGACCTCTGGAAACAAAAAGACTGTGTCAGACATGATATTAGGATTAGAATGTGTATCACTTTGTGCTGAATCTGTCCTCTTTGTCAAGCAAGCAGGAAACTCTGACTGCATATTTTCCTGATTCCCCATAATCAGGAATCTAGGATGACTTATCTTCATTTTAAGATTCTGCCATGTTGGAGTAGTCTAAACTGTTAGGTTCTGTTACTGTACAGTTAGTTTAATTAGAAAGTCAGTTACTATTCAATTAGTGGTTTGTTCGGTTAGTGATAGGATTCTATATATACTGAATCATCGAGCTATTGTGTCAGATTTTTCATATTCAACAAAGTTTATCCCATATTTTCTTCTGAGAGAAGCTTCATTTTCTCTCTGTTTTTCTCATTTTCTTAGATTTTATATCATTTTCTTTGTATCTCTGATTTCTATCATGCCAAAACCACAAATGTATTAAGTGTTTAGAAAAATAGCATGCAAGAAAGTGCAGGAGGAAAGCAAGTTCCACCCAATACAGGGATGTCAGACAGCATAATTACACCTAAACCCACAACTCCATAATTACACCTAAACCCACAACTCCATAATTACACCACACCGCACCAATTAGTAACAATCCCCACGTCTAATGGTAAACCATTACACGTTTAATGGTAAACCGTGTGTGTGTGTGTGTGTGTTCTAGTGTGTTCTAGAAGTAATTGCTATTTGGATTTTAGACCAATTTATCTCCAAACATGGTACCTTAACAGGAAACTCTGATGGATTCCTCAATTCCAGAACAAGTTGCCGCAAATCTCCAGCATATGCCTTTCCAGGTAAAGGGTGAATGGAACCCTGAAGCTTGGGTATGCTCTGTGATTTAGGAAGGGAAAAAAGCTTCTTTAGTATAAACTTGAGACTACACGAAGGAGAAGAGAAATTCATTTGGAAAAATGACAATAAAGAGAGAGAGTAGGATACCAGCACACACCTTTATCACCAAAAATTTAAATTTCTCATTAGGCAAGTGCTTTGCTTTCCTTCTTCCTTTTACAATATTCTTCTTTGGGTGGCTCAACTCAAAATTGTGAAAGCCAACTATTGTACCTGACAGTTTCCACCTAACACCAAGAATTTCAAGAGTACCCTCTGCCCTGGGAGTAACTGATAGTTGAACCTGGGAAAAGGTACTTGACAATATCAATTTTGCAAATTTGATAACTAGATACAAAAAACATCAACATCAACATCAACAACACCTTTATCCCAAATTAATTGGGGTCGGTGGTAGATGAACCCACATGAAAGATACAAAACGGTTGAAAAAAAGTAAAAAAAAATAAAAAATAAATAAATAAATAAATAAATAAATAAAAATACACAAATAAAATAATAAAATAAAATAAAATGAAATAAAAATATATGTATATATAAATAAATAAAAGTAAAAAAGAAAGGGACAAGAAGAAGTGGGGGAAATGAAGGGGAAAAGGACTAAAAAAGGACCATCTGGAACATAGGAATAACAGCGGGTCTAACCCTCCACCATACTTATAGCTTTTCTCCATTCCTTTCTAAGACATACTGTCCGCCAATCTATATCTCACTCCATTAAATCTTGTTTTACTACTTTCCCCCAAGTAAGCTTCGGCCTACCTCTGCCTCTTTTTGTGTTTAGCTCTTGGTAACAAACTTCTGTTCTTACAGGAGCATCCATGGGTCTTCTCATCACGTGCCCAAACCACCTCAATCTATGTTCTCTCATCTTCTCGGCTACCGGTACTACTCCGACCTTTCGTCGAATATCTTCATTTCTTATCTTATCCATCCTTGTGTACCCACACATCCACCTTAACATCCTCATCTCTGCTACTCCCATCTTATGCTCATGTTGCCTATGTGCTGGCCAGCATTCCGCTCCATATAGCATTGCCGGTCGTACTGCCGTTTTATAGAATTTTCCTTTTAACTTCAGGGGAATTTTGCGGTCACACAAAAATGCAGATGCACTACGCCATTTCATCCACCCTGCTCTGATTCTGTGATTTACATCCTCATCAATCTCTCCACCATTTTGTAAAATGGAGCCCAAGTATTTAAAAGCATTTTTTTTGGGTACCTCTTGACCATTTAGATGCACAGGTTCTTGGTCCTCATCTTGTACCAGAGAAAACTCACACTTCAGATACTCAGTCTTGCTTCGACTTAATGTGAATCCTCTGGATTCCAATGTGCTTCTCCACAATTCAAGTTTTCTATTAACACCCTCCTTGCTCTCATCAATAAGCACAATATCGTCTGCAAAAAGCATACACCATGGCACTTCCTCTTGAATATCTTTTGTTAGTTCATCCATAACTAAGGCAAATAGGTAAGGACTTAGAGCCGACCCTTGGTGTACACCTACCGTGATAGGAAAATAACTTGATGATCCGTTACAAGCTTTTACACATGTAGTAGCCCCATCATACATATCCTTGATTGCCTTTACATACTTTAATGGAACCTTTTTCTTCTCCAGGACCCACCATAAAACTTTCCTTGGAACCCTATCGTATGCTTTCTCAAGGTCTATGAACACCATATGCAAGTCCTTCTTCTTTTCTCGGTATCTTTCCATTAGTTGTCGCATCAAGAAAATGGCTTCCATGGTACATCTTCCTGGCATAAATCCAAATTGATTTACAGAAACCTTGGTATCTCTCCTCAAGCGATGTTCAATAACCCTCTCCCACAGCTTCATAGTATGACTCATTAGCTTAATGCCTCTATAGTTTGAACAATTCTGTATATCTCCCTTGTTTTTGTAGATAGGCACAATCATACTTTTCCTCCATACATCAGGCATCTTATTCGTCTGGAGAATCTTATTAAAAAGATTGGTCAACCATTTTATTGCCACATCCCCCAGGCCTCTCCACACTTCAATAGGTACAAAAAACACATTTTAAAAATATTGTATAAGATTTATCACATAATTATCTAAAGAAAAAAAAAAGACATTCTCTTGTATTTTGCATTATCAGGCAGCTACTTTCTTAAAGAATAGTCTGTCTGGAGTTTTTGGAGTGTAATGGGTGTTTCTTTCCACCTTGTAGCAGTTTCTCATGACACATTTTGAAGGTTTTGTGAGGAAAAGAAAAAGGGGGATAAAACTTTGTGGCAGTATGCCAGTTTTGGTATTCTCTGGTGTATTTAGTTAGAGCAGAATGCACACAATTTCAAGGGCTTTTCTTTGCCTATACTTACGTTATTTTTTCCTTTTTAGGAGGATATCTTTTCTTCCACCCCCTTATACTCTTCATCTATTCTCCCTTAATTAGTTTTTTTTTTTTGTTCATTAAAAAAAATTGCATGCATCAAACCAAGTGCTCTGCAATCCATTTGATTTGAATATATATCACAACCAGCCCTTGAAAAGAGCACAACAACGAAGCAAAATTTGTAACCCTATCCAAAAATAGTTGAACACTGTTGAGATATATAGTCCCACATTGGTTGTATGTGCAACTAATGTGGAGTTTATAAGGCATTGGGCACTCCCACCCCTTGAGCTAGCTTTTGGGGTGGTGTATCCCAAGGTTCTTTACATGGTATCAGAGTCTCGCCGCCCCCCACTTTCTCTTGTGACATTTCTTAGCACAGGTACGCTGGGTCTGTTGCATTGTCCACTCTTCAAGCCCAATGGGCTCTCGTGTGAGGGGGCGTGTTGAGATATATAGTCTCACATTGATTGTATGTGCAACTAATGTGAAGTTTATAAGGTCTTGGGCACTCCCACCCTTTTTTTTTTTTTTTTGGTACAGAACACCACGGCACTCCCACCCTTTGAGCTAGTTTTTGGGGTGGTGTATCCCAAGATTCTTTACAAACACAAACGGCTGTTTAAAAATCCCACCACTAGACTACAACCAAAAGCTTTACAGTAGAGACAAATTACCAACCAATAATAAAAATTTAATACTCACTAACAATTTGAATTGTGCAAACTGCAAAGTATCAATGACATTTATGAAGTCTTTAACTTTTATTAGATAATTTATACACTTGGTATCTACTTTTGTGTACTACATGTGAAGTGAAATATAATTTCTGTTATAATTACAGCAGAAAATAGATTCAAAGATCTAAGATGATATATTCACTTCTTATAAATTGTTTGATTATTACTAACACAGAAAAATTGTAGAAAGGGGACATAAAAAATTCTTTTGATCACCATTTTTAGAAAGAATAATGGTCAAAAAGGTTTATATATTCTGTTTTGGTACTAAGTTTATGTAGACTCTACCATAGATAAATCTAGGCTAAGAAGATATACTTAATTTCAACAAATACAGCATGAATTCACTTAATTTTTGCACTTCAAATATTAATTTGATTATTTTATTTTATTCACAACATCTTTATCCAAAACTAGTTGGGGTCGGTGGCAGATGAACCCAAATGAAAAGTATGAAAAGATTAAGAAATTTTATTTTATTCACAACCCCAAAAGAAATCAAACATTTCATCTCTGAATCAATCCCTGCAAACAGCAAGCATAGCCACAAAATCATGCCCTCCTTTCCTCCAAACCCTTAAAAACAGATATGCAAAAATTCTTACAATTTTAAACTAAGAGTACCTGCATTTAATCAGTTAAATATAAATTCCAAACTCATTTTTTAATATAAAAGCAAAAACAATCAATTTTATTTTTCCCCAAATTTACATTTAAGCCTGCCTTATTCACAAGGGAGAGGATCTAAACAAAAGAGATACACCATTTGGGAGTTTCACTTCTACTTCGCTATAAAGACCAATTATCTACATCTTCCAGAACTCAAGTCCAGTGTCATTCTACTCAAGCTTCAATTTCATTGCAAAAGCGCACAAAATTAAGATGGAAATGGGGAATTTCTTAATTTTTCACAATGCAACTAAATTCTGATATTACTAGTCAAAATTAAGAAGCATATGCAGAAGTTCTTGATTATCCACAATGCAACTCAATTCGCATATTTTTAGTCAAAACAAGATCTTTTCTACTGAAAGGAAGTTCTAAAGCAAACTCACCATGGTTGTTTCACCACCTCCTAGTAAGAAATCAACCTCAGACACCAAAAATGAGGCATTGTCTGAGCTCAGATCCTTGAAGTGGTCAAACTCATTGTCATTCTCCACATTTGACTCATTTTCATCTGTAGAACCCATGAAAAACTATTACCAATCCTAAGAAAAAGGCTACCACTATTAAATATTAAAAAGATAAAGAGAGCAATAAAAAAATGGTAGAAGACATAAACAGAAACCCATAGCTTACCCGAACTAACTTGATCAGTACTAGCAGAATGCTTGCATATGAGTGTAACACCAGATATGGGAATTGAGATTTGTAGAGGGTTTTTGAATTCAATATTCACGTTTACAGCTTCTGCAAATGGGTGCCATTGTTTAACAATGCACCAATAAAGCACAAGGGAAAAAAAAAAGTAAGCCTCTTGCATCGATTCCTTGCATAAATTTACTTTTGAAAATGAAATAAAATATATTAGATATAAAATCATTCATGTGTTTTCATCCAAGAGCTTAAGATTTTGGGTGAGTTGTTTCATGATATGGTATCGGAGCCTATGACCATGTGGTTTAGAGTTCGATCATTGTTGCCTTCATTCATACCAAAAAAAAAAATCCCTCTTCATTAAACCCCAACTAATGAGGGCAGAGGTGATGGCAATCCTTGTACACAATCTTACCCTTGTATATTTGCAAAGAGGTTGTTTCCCATTTTCAAACTCATGACCTTTTAGTCTTCATTCTTCCAAATATAAGTTAAATTTCAGCACAAGATATGATGGATCTATGCACTATCCAGGCTTCAGGCCATAATGATTCTTGCATGAAGAAGCGTGCTAAATATAAAATCATTCATGTGTTTTAATCCAAAACCTTAAACTTTTGTGAGAGTTGGTTCATAACATAATGAAATTACAATGAATCCAATCCTGGTTAGGTCAAAATTCCTTTTACCCAACTCTGCATCACATTTTTATATTTAATATCAACAAAATTTACACAAGAAAGTCCAAATGTCATCAAATTTTCTAATTAATTTCAAGTAAAAATCCGTCACTTCATAAACTGACAAGTGCAATTTAATTCCCCAAAAGAATGGCATCAATGATTCTCCTCAAGTCAGTCCCTTTTCTACAATAATGGAGGATAATAAAATATGTCAATTATTTTTAATACATAATTACCATGACTACATGCCAAAAGTTAAAAAAAAAAAAAACCTCACTCCCCATTAAACCCAACTAGCGAGTGTGAGGTGGAGGCAATCCTTGACAACATGCCAAAATTTCCGGACACTATTTCAACACTTAAGTTAGCAACAATGAAAATATTACAACACAAATAACCCTCTTGTTTCACTCCAGCAGTATACTCCTGATTGTCTAATCCAGATCACAACGTTGCTAAAATCTTCCATGTGTCTACGTGATAACAGAATAAATGTTGAAGATATGCATGGCTTATTATTGGAACTCACAGAATACTTAACCATAACTCTGTCAAGGATGCAAAGACAATACATAGTTTTGAACCAAAAAAAAAACAAAAAAAAAAAAACGAAATATAAAACACTCAGCAACTTCAAACTATATTATTAGATGATGACTCAAAATCAATATAAAATATTACACAATGGATAGTCTTTCTAATAAGAAAACAAAAAATATGATGTATTTTACAATAACTCGTAAAATCTACTAGCATACATTTAAAAAGTATTAGCATTCTGAAGCAAGCCAACTTCCTGCTCTCATGGCTTAACTGTAAGAACACGTGTATCGCTAGCAGTTTTCACTACAACTATCAGTAGCCCCAGAGCTAGAATCAATCATAAAATCATGGTTTGATCAATTTAGTGGTCCAAAGTTCAACGCCTTTTTGCTTTTTCTCTGCCCTCAATTCTTATCTACCATTATTCCTTTAATGAGTCAAAACTGTATTACTATTATGCAAATGTATGGCAGAAAATGAACATTTCATATCCTCCAAAAATCAGGATTGAAGACAATATTGGAAAGATATTCAAGTGAAGTAAAATGATACATAATGATTCAATTATCGAGTTCAGATGAAATTCTACCACGTACCTCCTGCAACACAAACATTTGATTGACTGTGCTTTCTTGGGACAAGCTTTGATTGCAACTCCAACCAATTAGTCTTGGCAGCAGAGAACGATGGTATCATTTCCTCCTCCAAAGAATGCCACAAGCCTTCTCTAGTGTTAGCCTGAAAAGTTAATTACCAGTGAGTAGTGACACTTTAAGCTATCAAACTATGGCCATTAACTTATTTGTAGCTTACGTGCCACAAAATCCATGAAACAAATGCTTTCCGTGAACATTTGAAAAGTACCAACACAAATATTAAAAACACATATATAGGTTATAGCAAAAATTGCAGTTCCCTTGCAAACAACATAAGGAAAAGCATAATTTCTATTTTTTTCATAATAATCATCTCAGCAAGGATTCATGTACAGAAACCTACCATTATCTCCTCTGAATGAATTGATATGTGCCGTAAAAGGGTACTCTTACTGTCCACATGGTATAAATTTGTATTTTTTTTGGTTAAAATTGAGGTTATTAATTTGCGAATGGCCAGTTATAAATGGCCCACTGAGTAGCTTGGTTTACTTGTTTGAAGAAAACTTGAGCCAACTTCACAGTAAATCAAGCATAGACCATAATAAGCAGCAAAGATTGCCCAGACCCGGGAGCCTTTCAAATAGAATGATTCTTTAGTCTACGTGACCCGGAGCTCCTGACAATCATGTACAGTTCATTACAATAAAAATCAGCAAGATGGAGATTGGTCTGTTCATGCTTTCAAGTGCAATGGGCTTGAATGTTAATGGAAATGTTAGATAATCAAAACCCATTTTCTTTCCTTCATGCTACAACTTTAGCTTTCATGTTGAGTTGCTCTTTGTGGTTGACACAGAGATACAGACAAATAAGCAACTGAAAGATGGAACACAACTAGTACTTGACAGGGGAAAGGAAAAGGTGTTTCACTAAGGTCGAAGAACAACAGAAACAAACATTCACATTAAATCTGAAAACCAAGGGGAATATAAAATTAAAAAAAGAAGGAATTATTGATAATTACCCACTCAAGGAGGTTGCCCCGTATTAGACAAAGGTTGTTCACAAAAGAGCTAATGTAATGTTAGATAAAGGGTACAAAAGTCTGTTCACATAGCATAATTCTAGGATTGGCAACAAAAATTGAAAAATTCAATTGGGGAAAACGTGATTTTCATATTAATGCTTTCAACTTTGACCTGTTGTTAGTGTTACCATTGTTTCTGGAACTTACAACCAATGTCACACAATGATTGCTTTTGTGGGATAAAGTGAACTTTTACATTGTTGTTGTCATTTCTTCAATTTATAGGTACTTGCTTTGTGTTAGGACTTAGGACCCATTTGCAAGGTATGGAACTTGGAGTCCCACATTGGTTGTATGAGCAACTAATGTGGGATTTATAAGGCGGGCACTCCCACCCTTTGAGCTAGTTTTGGGATGGTGCACCTCAAGGTTCTTATCAAATAATATCAGAGCCTTCTACTGTGTCTCCCGGTTACACTCGAGTGGCGCGGATGGTAACGCCAGTATTGCAGTGTACGCCCGGGGCTAGTAAAAGACTAGCACAAAGCCAGCCCGCGTGGGCGCCGCGACTGCGGAGCGTGGTGGAATGTTATGACCCATTTGCAAGGTATGAGACTTGGAGTCCCACATTGGTTCTACAGGCAACAAATGTGGGGTTTATAGGGCCTTGGGCACTCCCACCCTTTGAGCTAGCTTTTGGGGTGGTGCACCTCAAAGTTCTTATCACTTTGCCACTAGAAAGAAATTTTAATTAGAATGAATGACAAAGAAGAGAGCTGGAGATATACAAGAAAAGGAAGAAAACATATCGAATCTCAACATTAAAAGAGTGTGGAGATGGAGAAGAAAGCCAGGAAGAGAGAGGGAGGTGATGAGAGGATTGGGTCACGTGCACGATAGTCAAAATCAAGACAGATACAAAATTATATTCAACCACAAACACACATAATAATATATAAAAAAACACCCCATTAAACCCCAATTAGCGAAGGGAAGAGACGGGAAAAGGGAAAAGGGATGTGGGATGCAGCTGCAGCAACAACACAACGAAGCAAATAGGGTTAGGGCTTCAAATTGAAGGGGGGATTCAAATTGGGTCTTAAAATCAGGTGGGTGTTGGGTCTTCAAATTCTGATTTTTTGCAACACGGTGGGATGATACAATTCCACCAATCCTACAATCTTCCTCGATGATCTCACCAAAACGAGTTTTCGAACATGAATCAGATCAATGGTGGGGAAAATCATAGGATTGTGCGATCCCTTGCATGCCATGGCCATGAAATTCATTAATTCAGTGTTTTAATCTCAACCATTAATTTTGATCCAAGGGATGTGAGAGATTCTTCTCATCCCTTACAATAGGTCACTCCTCTCAATTGATATGCCCCTTTATATATGTGTGCGCGTGCAAACGTGTCTATGTGTATATATATATAAATATATATATATATACATATATATATATAGTTAGTTAGAGAAATACAATATAAAATCATTAATATAGCCTTAATCTAACAGTTTAAGTTTTACATTGAATTAATTATTTACATAGTATTTGAGTTTTTGTGACCAATCTGTTACGAGTTCAATTCCCACCACTCCTACTATATTAATAAATAATTAAATATTGTGGATCTTCTTAACAAAGGAAGGTGGGTCTGTGCATTGTCCACCCTTAAAGCCTAATAAGCTCTTGTGTAAGGGAACATATTAGAGAAATATAATATAAAACATTAATGTGGCCTTCACCTAAAAGTTTAAGCTATTAGGTGAAGGTCATATTATGGTTTTATATTCTATTTATAGCTTAAGCTTTGGGTTGAATTGGCGTTTTACATAGTATCAGAGCTTCTGTGAGCAAGTGGACATGAGTTTAATCCTCACCACTCCTGTTTATTAATAAATAATTAAACATTGTAGAATTTCTTAGCTCAGGTAGGAAGGCTTATGCATTGTCCACCCTTCATTTGTGTGAGAGGGACTTTTGGATTGTATTGGTTTTTTACATATATATATATATATATATAGAAAAGGTATTTCTGCAGTCACTGGAGATAAAGTTATCTCCAGTGAGCTCAAAACGACATCGTTTTGGGTTATAAAATTAAAAAATTATAATGATAAAGAATAATATAACCTTGCAATATATTAAAATTACAAAAACACCTTGATTTCCCCCCCTCCCAAAACGACGTCATTTTAGGCTCACCGGAGATAACTTATCTCCATTGACTGGAGAAATCCTTTACCCTATATATATATATATATATATATATAAAGAGAGAGAGAGAGGGAGATGAACGCCATGTTGCTTGACATTCATTTACATTTTAAGGGTGATACCCAAGTACCCATGTGAACTCAAGGTGCTTACATGCATCATACATAGGTCAGTTAGATATTTAGAGTAATAGTGACATACCTCTCAAAAGAGAGAATAACAGACTAAAATGTTTGGGAGAAGAAAAGAAAAATCTTATTAGATGATAGATTATATGGCAACAACAAACCCATACAGATTTATCATTAAAGCATAATCCCCACCTTCTAGCACATAGTCAGTCTGTTAAACAGTAACAAGGGCTAGTTAAATAGCAAGCAGAAAACATTTTGAGAAATTCAAATCCCAAAAGATGGGGAAGCATAGAATTGGACTCAACTTACAGCTGAAAGTGATCCAAAAGTTCGGTAATCTTCAAATATGACCTTGAGCGAAGAGATGTTGATCACAGGCAATTGAAGTTTGGTTACCTCGAATGTCCTTCCTGTTTTCTATGATATACATGAAAAATTAAGAAAGATGTCAAATTAATTAGCTTCTGTCCAAGTCAACATACATATTAACACTGAAATTATAGAGTCATGCAAAGCAAACTATTTCAGGAATTACAACAAATCAAACTATTGGCAGTTCATAAACATTTTATACAAACAATTAGGTTCTAAACATATGAAATCTGAATGAAATAGAAGCACTATCACCTCCACAATTTCAAGAAAGTCACCCAGGAATAATTCCTGTGTTGTCTTGGACTGGTGACTACAGGCCAAGATTTCCATCATATGCTTGACAGCCACATCATACATTCCAAGGGAAGCATACCACCTAAAACAATCATCTTGATAAATAAGTTCAAAGAATGTAGATGCTATGCTTTTTGATATAAAAATCACAATATAATATTGCTGAACTGAGTCAAACTTACTGTCCTATATGGAAATGAACATGATCATTGATATAACTCCAAGTAGTTCCTCTAAAAACAGAAAGAGCACTTCTGTATGTTCGGATAGCATGTTTGATCTGAACATGACAAGGTCAGGAAGGCCAGAAAATTAGTAAGAAAAAGCAATGCATTATTAAACGGGGGAAAGATCTGCATATTAGTGACAGCCCAATACCTGATCACACTTTTTATACTGCTCACCAGAAAGCACTAGATGAAATCCATATTTGCGTAACATGGAGGGTTTAGACAGCAAGTAGCAGTATGATGCTTGTTCAAGCATCACAGCAGAAAGTAGGATATCCTAAGACAAGGAATTTGTCAACAGCAGGAAACGATATTCCCAAATTACTATTATTTTATATAAGAAAAAAAGCACTACCTCACCACAAATACGAAAATAAACAGTAGCTGCCTCCTTATATTGATCTCGTGCCTTCAACATTTCTATCCACCATAGACCACATCGTGTTGCATTTTGCTGACCCGATGATCCAAGTTTCTGGACACATTAAGTTTATAAATCAAAAAGGCAATGTGAAAGGAATATAGCAATAACAGAGCATCTTCTTGAAAAACATAGTACTTGATCTTTCTCATGATCCAAAATAAACCATACATACTAAATATGTGTTAAAAGCATTTTCCATGCAATACTCAGCTTCCTTTCTAGATTGATCCAACATGAAGTACGTAAGTCCCATCATTTCCTGAAAAATAAAGTAGGCAAACCAATAGTGAGCATCTTCAAAACATTCTACGATCAGAAAGCGTATAATGTGGGCCTTGGAAAAAACAAAAGTAATGAACTCAACCACTGGGAAATAAAACACTCCAAACAGGAGGATTTCTTCTTAATATTATTTTACTTTTCTCTTCAGGTAGGGGATGGTATGGCAAGTGTCAATAAATAAGGAATAAAACTACAATGTTGAAAAATGTCTTTAATAATCAATAGGCACATCAAGAATGACTAATACAAAGGGTATGATGTGCATCTGAAATTCTGAATGCAATGTAACTTTTACTTATATAGTTACATTCAGATCACTTTGGCCCTAAGATGACAAGCTAAGAGAGCCATGTAAAGTATCTCATCTCCAATATTTCCAGGCTTTCAAAGTTCCGTATTTTAAGAAAAGGAACAGGTCCCACAGTACCAAAAAAAATACAAAAGGGCAACCAAGCTTCCTCTGGAGTGGAAATAAATAATAGACTTAAACCATTCTTCTGAAATAGTACCATATTATCAAGGGAAGTTATTCCTTATTTTGGGGGATATATCGAATCCAATTTAACATCCTTCCAGCACTTCTTCACAGAAAATCCTAAACTAACTTAAACCCATGTAACAAACTTGCACCATCTGAAGGCCCTCTCCACTTGGAACTGAAAGCATAAAATTACCTGCACACCAGCATAACGCTTCCAGGCTTTATCAATCTTGTAATCTGTGGAAATTAGGCGATAATTTGACAGGGCAAGTTCATAATCTCGTAACATGAAAGCATAGTCACCCAAAACTCGAATCTGGGATTCAATGGAGTTAAAGTTATACCTTCAACAATGAAAACCAAAATGATATTAGGAAAATGCCCGAAACAGATTGTTACATGCATAGCATATATGTATATTCTATCATAACAGGTATATGTGTGTGTGTTTCTGTAACATACGTAGGACCACTGAGAGAATCTGCACCATCTTCTTTCCCTTTTCTCCACCATAAATTTTTTATTTGGTTTTTAAAACCTTTTCGTGTTGCAGAAACCTAAACAAGAAATATTACAGAAACAAGGCAAAGGGCTATCAGAATATAGGTCAAAATAATAAATAGTGGGTCAGAAATAACAAATTCAAACCACCAACTCAAAAAAGCACTGAACATAAAAAACCTGTTGATTGAGCACACGAATTTTTAGCTCCATGTTTGGAATGATGTGCTTAGATGATAAATCTTGCATTAGATCTTTGACCTGTACTCAGGAAATAAAAATGGGGCAGCAAAATGCACCTACAATTTAAGCATAAATCCTATAGAATGAAACTAACAATTGTTGACAGTGTCAAAAGCAATATACCTCATTGATATCATCAATGCTAAGAAAGCATCCAAGATCTTGACTAGGTGAGGCATCAGATATCTGTAACAAATTTCAAGAGACTATTGCCTAAGTTGCATATATTCACATAAATGAAACCAAGATTTTATATTATTTTTAACATGGGTTCCAATATGCAAAAGAAAAAAAGAAAAAGCATAAGACAAGGAAGATGAAGTAGATAATCAACTTTATTATTTAAAAAAGAAAAGAAAAATTCTTCAAACAAACTTACATATGAAGCCCAAGGATTATTTTGATGTTTGATTTCAACATCTGGGGAAGAATTAATGCAAAGCAACAAACAGTCACTTGTACCAAATGTACTCCTCATTTCTGTCAATATTTTACTTGCTCTGCTGAAGAAGAAGAAGAAGAAACTCAACAAGTCTATCACTACATACTACTAAAAACTATCTACACAGAAAAATAATGGATAGTGAATGCCCAAGGTTGCATTAGGTTCTAGAAAACAACTGTCAAGTTTTCATTCTGTATTTTTTCTTTTTCAAGAAAACAATTTTCATTTTCAGTCTTCATTCTCACAGAATGAGACTGGTTTTGAAGTTTGAAATTATTTTCATACAAAGTCTACATCATACAAAACTTCATCTTCAAAGGAGAAGTTTGTAAGTTTTCAAGAATGTTAAGAGTAATAAGGACAAAATAGACAAGTGAGAGTAATTCACTCTTAAAATGATCACAAAAAATAGGCTTTACCCTGTGCTCAGCCAAACATATTGCTAAACCAATTTCTCTATTTTCATTTAAAAAGAAATCAGGAAATAATCAAACCAACTGCATATTAGTTTTCCATATTAATGTGGTGTTACATTTTTACCCAAAAAAGCAATTTATTAGAAAGAAAAATGAGAAGATACAATTATACGGACAATAAGGAATCCTCCAGAGCAGAAAAGCAAAGAACATCAAGGTAAAAAGAGCCAAGAATCCAGCAAAGCTGCCCAAGCTCTAACCAAGTCTGAAATGGCAACTCCCTCAAATTAACAAATGACAGACACCAAAGAGAGGTCATATACATATCTTATTGACATAGGAGCATGAGTCCCATATACAAACATTACGCTCCTACTAAATACACCACAGAAGGGAAAACTTTGCACAATGCTACAATTTCTCCCTCCTTATTGCCAAAACCTTTAAATATAACCAACAGAAAATATTCTAGAGTAGGACACACCCATTGTTCTCCAAGAACCCCAAACAAATTGTTCAATAAAAAATTGGCTGCCTTGCAGGGCAAGAACAGGGGTCCAATTGATTCTGATTAGAGCAGCACATAACACATGTCAAGAGAGACAGTAATGTAAAGCCTGTGAACAAACAACAAGTCATTTGTGTCATTAATACCAATGTCCGTATAAAATATTTTTGAAGGAGCTTTGAATTTCCAAATCAGTTTATCTAAAAGCAATCTCTCATGATTAGGAGAATGGGTAATAATGTAGAAGAAAGATTCACAAGAAAACTTTTCAAAAGTATCTAAAATCCAAACTTCAAATACTCCTTTACATGGACACTGTTAGAGATATAGAAAACCATTAATGTAGCCTCACCCAACAGTTTAAGCTTTTGGTTTGAATTGGTTCTTTACATAGTATCAGAGCATCGGTGTTACGGGTTCGATCCACACCGCCCCCCATTTATTAATAATTAATTATATCTTGTGGAGTTTCTTAGCACAGGTAGGCTAGGCCTGATGCATTGTCCACCCTTCGATTCCAATGGACTCTCGTGTGAGGGGAGCATGTTAAAGATATATAAAACCATTAACCATTAATGTAGCCTCACCCAACAACTTAAGCTTTTGGGTTGAATTGGTTCTTTACAGACACAAAAGAATGCTCCCCACTCCCAATGCCCCTCCTGAAATATGCCCATTCATTTCCAACTAAAAGGTCTTTTCCAAAAAGCATGCCTAGCAATCTTCATTACACACGAAAACATAGATCTCCCTTCCCAAGACATATGAGATACACCTCACAGAATGGCATAAAGTAATAATGTCCAAAATAGAAAAAACTTTCGTGGAAACCAGTATGGTGTCACATGTATCTATTATGCATAAACAGCTTCTCGAACACAAGAATGACACAACATTTATACCTGTCTGCAGGGCCATCTTGATTATCATGCACTAACAAGTAATGCTTCAAAATCTTTGGATCCATTGCACCACTATTAAGAAGGGAAGGAAGCTTGTTGGTATTAAAAAGGTCAACGAATCTGTTAATAGGCTTTTCATCCTTTGAAGAAACAGCTAGAAGACCTGCAAGTTATTTTAAGAAGGAAAGACAATTAAATCTGAAAAGATACACTTTGAAGAAGGAAAGTAGAAGAAAATTTCAAAAACAAATTATCTTAGGTAAGATATTACTATATTTGTTAGAGAAAATTAAAATGAAGAAAGAAAAGACAAAGAAGAAGAAGAAGAAAGGCTCCAACTAATCCCAAAATCTTACATGCCACAGGATGGTCAAAAGCTTCATGGTCTGAAAAAGAAGCCATACGAACAAGCTCTTTATTGAGAAACTGAAACCAGGATGGTGTATTTCTGTATTCAGAACCTACAAAAGTATTTGTTGATCAAACCAAGTCTTAGACAAGGACAGAACTTGAACTACCTTGACATCACACTAACAGAAATTTTACAGCTCATTCTAGGGCCATAAACAAGTGGAGCCTAGCAGAGCACTAGTAGGTGCTCAAGCTTGTTCAATTAAATCGTTAAAAACTTAAAAATATACCACGCCCAAGGTTTAATCAAACTAAAAATCTGTACTCAAGTTCAGCTCATTACCAAGTCCAAGCAATTCAAAAAGCATAGTATTTATATGATGTATAATTGTACTTGTACATGCATGCAAATATAAATTAAACTATCATAGGAAATTATTTTACACATAAAGGTTTGTATATGAGAAAGCAAATTACAAAAATATATAATACCATTCTAAATTACTCACGAACTATAATATGTTTTCATTCATCTATGATTATAGATAAAACTACATATAAACGAAGAGATACGTATCAGTTATAGTCACTAAAACAAACCATGGCGGATACAGATTCTATAGAGTGAATGCCACTTACTCTCAAGTTCATGATTAATTTCTGGTACATCAGAACACAACTCGGAAAGCACTTTCTCCCCTGCCTCTGTGATAACTTGCTTCAATTGCTCTTCAGCTACCTAGTAAAAAGGCGCGGATACACAAATAGAACCACATAATAAATCCTAAAAGATAAACCTATTTACGCAGTACAGATAGTTTAAAAATCTCTCAAGCAAGCATGATCTAAACATCGAAGTAAGCCATGTCCACAGCATTCGTAAAAGATCGTGCGAACAATTACCTTCAAATCGGGATTCCTAACATCGGAAGCATAAAACAAGCGCAACTTGAACTTGTGAAGGCGATATGGCTGGTCACTGGCGGTCCTTACAGGAACTGCTAGATGCAAAAAGGAGGAATGCTAGTAACGAATCGGAAGCATTAATGGATGAAGATGAAATAGGAATGGAGGATAAGATTACCGTCGATGTTGTTGAAGGAGCAGAATGGAGTGAGCATCTGAAGGAAGGAGAAGCCGTTCTTGAGGCAAGACTCTTCAACAGAAGGAGTAGAAAGGACCATCACAACAGGAGTGATCTCCTCCAATAGCATTTGCCCCAGTGGCGTCCTCGCCGGATCCATTATCTTCTTATTCTCCTTTCTCCGGCCAGTTATTCGTTGCTAGCTGTCACTCTCTGATTTGCCTACCAGATCGGATCTCTGCCGTCAGAGGACGATTGCGATTTGAGAAGGAACCAGAGTACAGTCGCCAGAATGAGGGAACCGTTTCCCTTTGCCTTCCACGACGTCGTCTCTCTGAGGTCCAGACGAAAATTAATTGAATGAAATGAAACAGATACAAAAATATTGACCCACTCTTTCTTTTTCTTTTTTCTTTTTTTTGTAACTCATGTATTTTTCACCTTATATGAATATGAGACTAATATTTTTGTCCTTTAATTCAGGTAAATTGCCCAGGTCATCATCGAGTGCATGAAACAAAATAGGGAAAAATGTTTATCCTTTTAAATGACACAACTTATATCCTTTCACTCTCACAAAGAGGTGGGACCCACACCTTTATTTTTTTTGTCAACTCTCTCTCCTCCTTTATCTATCTCTTTCTTTTTCTTAAAATTACTCAAATTTACATCCTTTAAAATGACACACACTTTACCCAACAAAATAATACCCAAACCTAGAAAACCGATAAAAATATAAATTAATATTCTTTTGCTATAAAGACATTGTTAACGTTCCTGTATATTGTGTAAACAATTTTTTTCCTGTTTATAGTACTGTTAACCTTCTTGGCTAATATACCAAATATTGACAATATTTCATTTAATTTAACAACATACGCTTAATACTTAAAATTAAAATTTAATACTGCTAAAATGTTCATATAAAATGAGATTTTTTTTAGAGTAGGTAAATCTTGATAAGTGGAGATTGCAATTTAAGTTAATTATTAATACACCATTAATTATTTATTCACTTTAAATAAAAAAAAATGGTATTCAAATAAAAATATTTACTTTAAAAGAAGTTTGTGCAAAATAATATTAAATATGATGGTTTAAAATTTATTTATCAGGAAATTTTTTTATACTTCTTTGAAACTTATATTCAAATTATTTCTTGGATTTATGTAGGAAAGGTTGGGTCAGCTGTAGAAGTAGAAGACTTGCATAATTCATACCCGTATAAGTCCTTCAGTCTTTATCCACATGTGAGTTGTGCTGAATCTGCTGCTGATGTTGGTGCCTCGCCAGTCGCCACTATTTCATTGTGTTGATATGTACTTTATAAATATGCTTAATGTCTTTAACTTGTACAACATTGGTGACGATTTCAGACGACTATGATTATCTTTGGGAGCGGCTCATGATGAGATAAGAAGGGCATCTTTATGTGGTGAAATGTCACAGGTCCTATACTCTTAATGTTCAGTTGCGTGTAGGACTGTAGTCTGTACAATTACACTGCTTTTTGTATTTTAAAATGTAAAATTCCTTCACAAAGTGTAGCATAACCTTGCACATAATTATTTCCGTTATTCTTTCTAAATATAATCTCCTGTTCTTTGCTCTCAGGGATCAATTGCTATCGAAACGCCAAAGTTGATGGGAAATCTATGGGTTAGAGTACTAACTTGTATTGTCCAGCACAAATTGTCCAAGCAGCCGTGGGATGCTGTAGGCGTGATTCAGTTCCTACTTGCAAAGCCTTCTTGTATATTCCTTCCTCCGTAGGGGAGTTAACGGACCAACCTGAGTGCTTAAAAAAATGTTAGAAAATTATATAAATTGTTGACGAGACTTTACTTAATAATTTAAATTTTTAAGTGAGGTTACATTAATAATTTTATAGTCAATCTGTAATCTATTATTAATATAATTATAGGCTATAGCCTGACTTATTTATAAAAAATAAAAATATTGCTTAACCTGTTAAAAAAAATGAGACAATACAAATTTATCCAAATAGAATATACAAACAAAAGTAGTAATAATTTCACATAGATTTATAAATTTAATGTACTAATAATTCTGCTTAACTAATAAACTAAATCATTCAAAATCATAAGAATCTAAAAAAATCAACAAAAAAATAATAATAATACATCAATTTTTCAACTATTACATATGAAAAATGAATAGCACCAGCAAAACAGGAATCGAAAAACGATAAATCGCCTGTGCAAACAAATCAGAGTTTACGCAAAAATATATTAACAACAGCAGAAGAGAGACCACAGAGAGACGAAGAGACCTTCAACAAGAGAGAAAGGTGAAATGCTCGGAGACGGCAGAAATCGAAAGCGAAAACGATGGTGAAATGCTTGGAGATGGCTTCGATGAAAAGAATGACAGAGTCAGAGAACGATTGCTTGATGGCTTGAGTGGGCTGGGCGCGACGATGGGAGTGAAAATTAGGTTAGTATAAAAAATATAAAATAAAGATAAGAGTTAGTAGGTCTGCCTGACAGGCTTTTGAATTGGAAATGAAGCTTTTTTATTAAATAAGTTTTTATACAAGTCTAGGTCTGAATCCAATAATCAAAACACTCACAGATCTCTCAAAGAAAAAAATTTCAAATTTTAAACACATTAATTAGTGACATAATTTTGTATAAAATATATATCAAATCTTTTATAAAATGATACATTTATTTTTAATGCAATTAGTTATTTTACATATAAGATACAGATTTTAGTATAAGGCTTTACTTTTACCAAATTATTTTGCCAATGTTTTAAATATTAAATTGGTTTTCTTAAGTAAATATTTTTCACAGGCATTGAATTTAGTGCGACATTAGAAATCATGGATATTTTATTATATTAGAGTTGTTAATGTGTGACCTTACATGTTAAGAAATATTTATTACTCTTATTAATTGTTCTAATTATCTACGAATTAAATGTTTTATTTTTCTGATTTTGAGATATTAAATATTATTAGTTTTTATTTAATGTCTTTTTTTAATTCCTTAATCTCTGCCATAATAGCACGTGTAAACAAAATCTTAATATCCAGATATATATATAGGATACTTGTGTATCAAATGCTTATCAAATGCTGCCCGAAATGTAGCCAGGATAACAAGACCTTGAGACAATCCATTAATGGTACCCTTCTACCAATAGCGCAGTTGAGCTCTGATGATCCAAGAAGGACTACACCTTCTAACCCTTCAGTACGTAGTGTCTGATGGTCCAAATATTGATCTTACCCAAGTTTATTCTAATTTTCACAATCAAATTATTTTGCCTGAAGAACTTAGTCTTACTGGGTGTTTGCATCTTCAAGAACAATCCACAGAATCTGATCATTCCAGTGATGGTAATGTCCAAATGTATTTTTGCGGGTTCTACTCAATCTAGAAGCATCAAGAATATACAAGTAGTCCTGATACTACAAATTTTGAGTTGCCACCATTGCCTTGTGAAGAGGCAGCCCCATATGATATGTTGTGGTCCGATTTTGAGACGATGGTAGACCATGCCTTGCAACTTGCAAGCCACCCAACCTCCACTTTCTGAACCTGAAGCTCATGATGCAGACTTGTTAATGGGCAACTGGAGCCCCTTCGATTTTCCAGGCCTTCATAATGCATGATTCTCTTCATTGTTGCCTTGTTTTGCTTTTGATATACAGTTTGTGTTTAGGTTGGATCAAAATTACTACTAAATAATTTGAATATGTAAGCAAATAGTCTTAGACAAGGATGGACCTACATGGGGCTACTGGTGGCCCCCGCCCCCTCCTAAAAAATTATATATTTAAAATTTTTGCATATAAAAAAATCAATTCAAGGACAGGTTGCAACATTAGACTAGAAAGATACACATAATATATAAACAATACTTGCTTAAGTGTATAACTTGTTATGACAAGCTTTAGGTTGTACAAAAGTAATAACATTGTAAATAATTACAGGATGATGTAGTTATCAACGAATGGAGATTTTTCAACTTAAGGAACACAAGGAGAGAAGTATTGAAGTCTAAAAAGAAGCTTTTGACCAGTACATGCATAATGTAGATTTACTATAAGTATTTTGAATGAAAAATTGGATTTTGATATAATTACTAGAAGCTTTTTACCTATTTATGACCGGTACAGTTAGAATTAGGTAGTTAAAATGGAAAAATGTTGTTTACCAAAAAAAAATGGAAAAATGTTTTAAAAACTGAACTAGACCGACTAGTTTTAGTGGTCGAATGGTGAATCAGTTATATTTTAATTTGATTTATTTGCGATTCCACAACAAATTTAATAGCTAATTGAATTCTGGTTTAATGTTGAAACGTTGGCCAAAATGAATTGGAATGACAACAGTTATTGAATAGATAAGTAAATATAATTTTTTTCGCCTCCCATCATAATAATTCCTGAGTCCGCCACTGGTCTTAGATATATATACCTGACAAACTCTTTTATCTTGATGAGCACATTTCATATCTATATTTCAATCTAGGTTTACACTTTCTGGTTTAAAATACTCTTCTTCGATCTGGCTAGAGAATTGTTCATCCTCTATATTGTTGGAATTTGGCTTATGCAAATTAAACATTCATTTGTTATAAGTCAATTTCGAACATAAGGTGTAGGAACAAAGAGTAAGAAATATATGGTTGCTTTGTTGGCTTACTCTTCATCATGAGAAACTGGAGATGTTCGCGGTTTGGATTGGATCGGTTTTGAAGCAAAAATCATCTGATCTAATCTCTTCGGTTTGATAATTTAATCATCCATTTGATTTTGATTTTTTTTTTAAAATTCAATCCAATTTTATTCGGTTAGGATTTGATCGGTTTTCGATTTTTCGAAAAGACTAAAATTTCAGCCATACAAATCACTAGCTATATCAAAATAAAGTTATACAAAGTTAAAACCATTGAATAATTCAAATATTCAAACTAAAACAAGTCTTAAAACTCATAAACAGTTAAAATAGATTAATAGATAATAAAAAAACTAAAATAAGAGTTTGCTATCAATAACATCCAAGATTCCAAATTGTTATGGACATATATAAAGTTCATATATCTAAAACCCAATAAAGGGCAATCACATGACAGTTGGGTGATGGTACAATTGGACTTATGGACTATAAAGCTCAGAACTCCTACATTCACAGATAAACTTTATAAATAAGAAGTAAAATCTACATATATATCTGAATCTCTCTTTTACAATTATGTTATCACTGCACACATATCACCCCATTAACTAATGTCTTTATAATTGTGTACAGTCATCTGCGGTGGTTAAATATAACCATATTATAAGAGCCTGCTGCATTTCATTTTGTTATAATTCTGGGAGATTTATTTCAACTAATATGCTGCAAGCTAAATGATGTGCCAATTTTTCTTATGATTCAAACCAATAAACATTACTATTACTATTACAATTACATAAGAAAAAAAATTATTTCTTTACATTAACTAAAGACACTTTACTTTCTACAAAAAAAATTAAAAAAAAAAAATCATTTATCTTTTAACATTTTAAATTTGTTAAATTATATATAGAGATGCTGACTTCCACTGACGCATCTGTTGTAGTTCTTTCAAACCAGCCACTGATCCGATTCCTATTCTTGTTTGAGTAATCCCTCCTTTAGACTAAACATCCCAATTCTGTTTTATTGATCGAATGATGATCAGTTGATTATCTAGAAGTATATATTTCTATTATGCCCTGCAAGTAGTTGGACCTTTGATAGGTCACCTACTTTCAGATCATGGACTTACTGGAAAGGTAGGTTAGTTTGAAGATAAGATTTAAATAGTTCTGTGCTGAACCTAAAATCTTTTACAATCTTATTATGTAAGGGTCAGCATAAGGGTACCAACTAAAGTTGTTTAAAATTAATTGTGGGCTCTCAACAACCCTCTGAATTCCAAATCAACTGTATGAAATAACTGGTTGGACCTAGCCCAAGTGGTAGCCGGTCACTCAGAAAATCATATTCAAATTCACGTTCTTGGATGTATATTGACCTCCAATAAACAGTAGCTGACAATTGGGGAAGACTTGAATAGCAAAATTCATGAACCACACATTTTGTAGTGAGCCCTCCACCACAGAGTTTTAATTTATTATTATTTATTTTTTTGAAAACTTTAATTTATTTATTTTTACTCAAAGTTTGAAAGTTTATAGGAACTGAGACTACTTGAAAAGAGAGCCCACCGACATAAAAGCCCATGCATGACCTAAGATACTGCCCCCCACGACAAAAAAAAAAAAACATGTATGCCGTAAAGTGGTCGTAGACTGCGAAACATAAGGGATTAAGGGGTGGCGAGGCAATACCATGGGCAAGCTCATACTCTAATACTATAAAGTGATTTGACTAAATTGGCGAGCAATATTGATTTGGAATTATATTTAAAAAATCTATTCCGATATTAAAAGATGAACAGGACAATATTTATTTCAACTTAAGAAAAATTCAGTTATTTATTTCTTCAGTACAAAAATACTGCAGAAACGATAATCATAAAATATAAAGTAATTTTATGAAAAATATAATCTTTTACCATTAATTCAGTAATTATATCATAATTCTAATAAGAAATCTATTGTGCAATAAATGAAGTTTAGTAAACTATCACATATGCGTGACCCACCCAACATTTTTGTCATTAATCGAGGTCCCGCGCGGATTCCTGATTGATCAGGCTGATCTTTCCATGCCATTTTTTTTTTCGGACGTCGCATTAATTTATTGTTTTATCTATCTATTTTTGGGTCAATATCTGTACATATACAGATGAAGAAGTTTCTTATTAACAAATTGCAATAGGTGTCAAACTTTTCAGGAACTAGCTTGGTCTATGAGATTGAACATCACTCACATACACAATTATGCTCCTACTCTAAACAGCTCATTTTCTAGAAGGCATAAATCACGAATTTTTTTTTGAAGAAAATGAAAACTATTCATTCAAGAAAGTCCAGCGACACTTGCAAACACTTTTGACAAAAATATTCAAATATAATAATTTTCGCAATCTTTCTTGCTGAAGTAGTTTGAAGTGCATATCACAACATAATCATTCCTAACAATGACTATTTCGCATAAAAAATGTGAAAATGCGGCTCTACATCTATGTGTACTCATAGTAAGGTTGATTAGTTTTTCCCCAGCAAATGATATTTGAGTTCCTAAATACGTAGTCCATCTTTATTTGCATACCAATTGTGCACACATCATTGTTACACTCATGTACGTCCTGTGGGATAATTTACTCGGATGTAAAAAAAAAAATTCCATACCTAAATGGTGTGCGTTATATATGAAGTACAACTTTAAATTATTAGATCACGCCTATATGAGTTAGAACGTAAAATTATGTAACATTTTAAGTAGTTCTTGATTATCTATGTCAAATTAAATAGTTAAGAATTATTTCTCTCGTTTCTCACAATTAAATAATACTTTGATCACGCGGCATACCTCTTTAATCAAATGTGAATTATACAAGTATCATACTTGTTGATTTACAGCTGTATTTAAAAACATGGTTTTGTTGCTGTCAAGCCAAGCCAAAAAATAATAAATAAATAGTTTAAGCTCTTACAAATACAAGTTCTTGAGGGATTAGTAAGTGATCCTGTAATAAGACAAAATTATTGTTCTATATTATTCTATATTTTTTTGGAGAGATTATACTTACAATTTTTTTTTCTTTACAATCATTTTATGATTGTTAGATCAAAATTCAATCAATGGCTCTCACTTAATGTCATTTTGTAATTATTGATTTGTTTTTGACCCAACAACCATAAAAAAACATAAAAATAATTGTAAGAGAAAATAGATTGTAAGTAACTAAGTATAACCTCCCTTTGATATTTTACATCATAGGGTATAAAATAAAAAATTCTCTTGCTTCCGAAACACTTAAAAAATTTCTCCGATTTAGAATCAATTACTTAAATGGAAGTAAATTTTTTGGAAGAATAACTTATAAGTATTGTCAAAATTTGAATACTGTTTTTAAAAATAGATTTTTGATTTTGAAAATAAAAAAATAAAAAAACTTATTTGATAAGTCCTATTTTATAAAAAATAATTCTAAAAATTATAATTGTTTGTTTGTTTTTAGAACCAAATTTAAAGAATATATGGGTTTGTTTGAAATCTGTTTTGAAAAATGATTTTTAAAATTTTAGAATAAAAAAACTGAGTTTAGTTGGCAACTGAACTCCCAAGGGTTTGCTTGGGACAGTAGCGAAGCTCAATGCACTAGCTGTTCCAATGAGGGGCTAGCCTACAGGGCCGTAATCCGAGGGCAAGGTGACCGGAGGAGGTTGAATGAGGATACCTCCAGGATATATCAAAAAAAAAAAAAAAAACTCATTTGGTAAGCTTATTTAGTAAAAAATAAAAAATTAAAACTATACATTTTTTTGTTTTTAGAATCAAATTTAAAGAATATATCTGGGTTATTTTAGTTTTTTGTTTTGGTTTTTAACTTTTAAAACAAAAAAATAGAAAACATTTATTTCTATAAATATTCTACAAAATAATTTTAAGAATAAAATAACTAGAATACAATCAAATAAGTCTTATGTTTTAGTTGTTTTTGTTTTGTGTTTTGACTTTTATTTTTTAAAATAAAAAATATATAAAAACATATATTTTATTAACAATTCTACAAAATAATTTTAAGAAGAAAAAAAACCATAACTCTATCAAACATTATATACCTGGTTATTGCCAAATTCAACTTAATTTGAGCAATTCAAGCAATTGAATGTAAAGCGGAAAAAAGAGAATGAAACTCTAACGCTTCTGTGTCAGGGTAAACCAAAAATTGAAAAAAGAAAAAGAAACCTCTTGTGTCAGTAATCCATTACATATTGTCTATTCAATTGTCAGGAAACACACGTCAAAACCAAAATTGCTACCCAATCTGCACCTTTTATGGGCAATAATTGATACACATATCTACACCTTAATATTCCAGATTCCTTTCCAAATAATTCTATACATGGAAAAAATAAGAAAAGACAGAAAAAGTAGTTTGTTTAAAAGAGGAATGATCCAAAATTCCCATTTCACACATAAGCTGGGTATGAAGAACGCAAACTGTTCGGTATGCATGGAGAATTCCTCCATGCCCGAGCATGCAATTTGAGTATCTCTCTTACTTTTTCCTTGGCCTTGTTTCCACTATCCACTTGAAGCACCAAACAAAGTTTTGCAACCACACCCAGTTTCAGCATTTCTTGAACAACACTTGGAGTTGCAGAGAACTTGGAAATCGAAAGCAGAATCCTCACAGCTCTATCGTTTGCCACCGTCGAAACCCTTAGAATCTTCTTTGACACGATGGCAAGCCCTGCTCCATGACTTAACAGTTCTGCTCGTCCCTCAGCACACTGGCACAGAGATTCCAACAACACTAACATCATTTCACAAGGTTTTCTGTCCTTATAATCAAGAAGAAGTTCTATCAAAACAGGAACAGTTCCAGCTTCCACAGCTTTGATTCTGTTCCTCCCCCAAGGACAGAGTTGTATTAGTGTCTGAAGTGTCGCTTTTGATACCTTCTGGGAAATCTGGTCCTTCAAGAGTTGCACTAATTCAACAAAAAACTCAGTTCTTAGATGGAATAGTTGCACTGGTTCAGCCACTTCAGTCATAGATTTCAACAAAAAGACTGCATAAGCTCTTGACTCAAAGAACCCCTTTTGCATGACTCTTGTTAAGGAATCAATGAATTCTCCGTTTTTGAAGCCGAGGAGAGACTTCAATCCAGCTTCAGATACATGAAGATTATGGAGCATGCTTAAGGCTTCGTCACCTGGGTTAGCCTCTGATTCGGGCAATAAAGATGCAGAATCGATGTTATTCATTACAACTGTTGCTAAGAATTCAACAACACCTGCAGCTTCCATGCAACGTTTGTTTGTTTCACTCCCAGAAGCGATGGATTTAAGCCTTCTGAGACACTTAATCTGCATCAAAGGAGAATGAGAAGCATCTTTAAGGAGCTTGGAAATCTGGTATTTGTTGACGGGAGGTTTAGGAGTTGGAATCCTTTCGATGCCGTGAGAAGCGTTGATGGTACACCATGCTTGAACCAATCGCCGAAGGGTGTGATTTGGGGTGAGATCAGCGTAATCTGAAAGGGGTTGTTTGGTGACAGGGCATGTCTTGTTTTTCTTAGAAAATAGCCACTTCTCAATATTCTCTCGGTCATAGGTTATACCGGTGGATACAGTCACTGGATCCTTCATGATTTCTAAAGAAATGGGGCAGAGAAAGAATGGAGGAACATCAATCTCATCCATGTCGATCTTATAAATTAGATTTGAAAAGAAGAGTTAGGTTAGGTAGCTTGCGGAGACGATGATGAAAGTAAGGGTTGAGAGAATTGAAGGAGTTGTAAGGTGGGTTTGAAAACTTTTGAAGTTGAGAGTTGAGAGCGGGGTTGGTCTTCTTATTTATACACATATCCGTGTGTTAAATGCGGAGAAAGTCAAAACACGCAAAAAATAGAGCCTCCATTCATGATAGAGGGAAATAATGGGCGATGACTTTTCCAATATGGAAATCCTCAACTCGATTATATAACTTTACCTAGTCGACAGCAAGAACTAGACAAAACAGGAACAGGTTCTTGACAGCTTTAGTGATCATAGTATTTTATTTTATTTTTGATTCTCTTCTCTCTCTTTAATTCATGCTTCCTTACCTTTTTTTTTTTTTTTTTACCATCATAATACAAATTAAAAAATAAAATAAAATCGTGGTGCCACATCACCATGTGAGTCTCCTTATCAAGGAATAAATCTTTGGTACTACTGCTGTACCTAGATTCAGTGCATCTCATATGAGAGCACTACACATCAGAAGAAAGAGACAAAAATTTGATAGAAAATAAAAAAATTTAACTGACATGTAATATTTTCATTAGTAGGATGCACTGAATCTTTGCAACAGCAGTAGTACCAAAGATTTATTCGTTACCTCTAATGGAAGCATTTATTGAAGTAAATGCCCAAATATAATTAATATCAATAATAATTAAGTAAACCTCTTTACTGCAAGATTATATCCCAATTAATTATGGGTATCAATTAGGCAATTCGATATTAATCATTATAATTAATTGATTCTATAATTATGAGTGATTAATTTTATACTTTTAGGTCAAATTATGGGTCATTTACTCCATAATTATAAATGGATGACTTTGTAATTATGAATGAGACTGAGAGAGAGAAGGATTTTACTAAATATCCAAGTATCAAAAGTAGGGATAGATTCTTTTACATTTTTACCTATTTTTTTTTTCTGCCTATCATTCTCTAACATCATTATATCAGAATCTCAATTATCCTTAAAAATACAAGATCAATAATTTACAAATTGACAATAAATTTAAAATTAATAGCTCCTAAATATGTAATTTGATCCCATAAATATAAAAGTAATAATTTATAATTAAATAATCAATCAACATAATTAATATCCTTAATTAATTGGGATGTGATCTCATACACCTTTGCGTGCACTAAGTGATATCTCCTTAATTGTTAATCGTATTAATTTTTTTTCAGCATTTACTTGAGCAAATATGTAAATTATGTATTTACTAGAATAAATATTTTCATGTGTTAGTTTGGTTTAACTGGTGAACAGAATCAAACTTTATCAGATTGATAAATGGTTTGTAAATTATACTATTTTCTTATATTTTACTATAATCATCAAAAGATTCATTTTATAATTTAAAAATATTTGTAACTCTTTTTTTTAATAAACCTTTAATGTTTCTTAATCAGTATTTTTAAAAATTCATTACGAAGACTTATATATTTAATACTTTAAAAATAATAATTAATATTATATTTATTTAATGATTTGAAATTATCAAAATGACTCGTTAGAAGGATATATAGAATTGTTCTTGAATAAAATGTTGGATTTGACCTCAGGCCGACAAATTAAAATGTTTATTCCAATGATATTACACGTATAAAGCGCGAATAGATTTTTCAGTTTTTATTGATTGAGATTAACTAAGACATGATATGATTCATGGCCTATGATTCATTGTCGTATAGGCTGTGTGGCCGCCGTGTCTCTCCTCTTGTCAGTCTTGCGTTATCCTCATACAGCTTCTTTACTCGCTCAATTCTTAACTTGGTTCCGGTTGTCGCCGATACTTTGACCAAGCACGGGTCTATTTTTTTAAGCATGTTTTTATATTACAAATACTCAAGATTTATTCTCATGTATTTTCATAATCAAATCATCAATAAGAAATTTATGATAATAGATACATAAATAATATAACAAGTAATCTCTTAGGGAAACATATGAATAATTATGGGTATTTATCAACTGATTCAAACTACGATTATCGAAGAAAAAAAATTGATAACCGAAAATCAAAAAATTTAAAATTGAAAGAAAACATGCATATTTTAATTGGATTAGATTGATTTTTGGTTTGATTGGTGACATCGATTCAATATATTATGTATTTATTATTTTTAAAATTTTGTTACTCGTTGTTTTATATACTGGGAATATTGAATGTTATTGATAAGAAATTATCTTATTTTTTGTTTGAAGAATTAAATTTTTTGGTGATTTGAAATTTTATATGGATTCATTTGATATAGCTAATGATTTATACGGCTGAAATTTTAATTTTTTGAAAAACTGAAAAGAGATTTGATGCAAATTGAATAAAATTGAATCAGATTTAAAAAAAAATCAAAACTGAATGGATGATTAAATAATCAAAATAAAAATATTAAATCAAAATATTTTTTATTCAAAACCAATCTAATGCAAGCAGCGATGACCCTATGAATAAAGCATAGCCAGTATATTTTCCGAATTGTTTTGCCTGTGATTAATAATCTTCTCCAAAAGAATAGATTGTCCAAATAAACAAGAAAAAGTAAGGGTATTTTTTAATCTTTTTTTTTCAAAAGATGTTTTTAATATAAATTTTAAAAACTGACTTTGAAAATAAGTAAACAATAAAACTTATTTGAATATAATTAGATTTGATTTTATAAAAAAATGTAATTTTAAAAAATACTATTAATAAAGTTTCATAATTATGAAATTATTATCATAACGTTATTTAAATTTATTTACAAATATAAATTAATAAATTTTGATATTTATAAAATTATCACAGTAAAAACAAAACAAAAAATTAAAAATAACTTTTAAGAACCTTAGGTGCTACAGTTGTATTGAGTTTTAGCTAAAATTTATTTACAAATATAAATTAATAAATTTTGATATTTATAAAATTATCACAGTAAAAACAAAACAAAAAATTAAAAATAACTTTTAAGAAACATCCTTAGGTGCTACAGTTGTATTGAGTTTTAGGTATTACTTCCATTCATAATATGATATATATTTTATATTTATCAAATTATTAATAAATACTTTTTTATTTTCAAATAAGAAAATAATTTAATAAAAATAAGACACGTATTATATTATAAGTTATAACTAAAAATAAATAGTAATGGAAACTCAGTGAAACAATATCAATGAAGAAATTTTCGTGTTTATGAGAGAAAAAAAGTTAAATATTATTTTTTTAATAAATATTTATGAAAATATAGTTATTTTAAATGTAAATACGAATTTATAGCACTCAAATACGTCATACGGGAGGTGTGACCTGATGGAGAGACACACTCCACAAGGAGCGTGACTCACCAGATGCTGACACGTGGCACAAAAAGTCAGCAGTTTAATCATAAAACTTTGGAAGGTCATAACTTTCGACATGGGTATCCGAGTTAGGTATCTTTTTTATTCCACACAAATTTTCAACATCTACACAATGAGGTCTCCTTGAAGGGGATATGGTAAAAAAAAATTAGATATTTTATCGTAAAATTTCATAAGGCCATAATTTTGGCCTCTTATGCCCAAATTATGTTTTTTTTTTTTTATTTCGCATAACTTTTCGAGACGAACGTGTTGGCAAGTTCATGTAGGGGACTTGATAATTTTTTCTTCTTCCAAAATATGTTTCCTTGTGCTCTATTTGCATATTTCATATCTCTGTAAGTGTGAATGATGTTATTTAAATTGAAGTCTGTCTCCCATAAATATAATTTCAATTTGCAACACTGGTACCATAATTACAAGATCTCTACTATGAATGTTTCTAATCATGAGAGTGGTTTTCTCTTTATTAATATGGGTTTAAACCATTGTTTTTTAAATCTCGATTTATTATTACGATTTTACGTTTTTATGATTTTTATCAAAATGATTTTACTAATATTTCAAACGTTTTTACAATTTTTTACGATTTTTTTACATTACGATTTTACGTTTTTCGAATTTTTACTCTCTATTCGATTTTACTTAAGATCTCAATTTTAATAACATTGGTTTAAACATTCACATAGTATGAAGTATCATTGTTGTAAATTTTAGGGGTGTCAATATAGGTTATGACACGTGGGTTGACCCGCGACACGACACAAAAATTCGTGTTCGGGTTGACCCGTAGAAAAATTTGTGTCGTGTTCGTGTTAGGAAAAAAAAGACACGTAAAAAATTTGTGTCGTGATCGTGTTGAGGTATTTGTGTTCGTGTCGACCCATATTTTTTTTAATTATTTTTATTATTTTTTTTAATTTTGAACCATTTTTTTAAATTATTTTTGTCAATTACCGTTTTGACCCTTATTTTGCGTGTTATTCGTGTCGTGTCGTGTCAACCTGCAAAAAATCTGTGTCGTGTCAGTGTTGAAGATTTTGACACGAATAAAAATTCGTGTCGTGTTAGTGTTGATGTATTCGTGTCGTGTCAACCCGTTTTAACACCCCTAGTAAATTTGAACTTTTTTGTGAGAGGCAAAATATGCCAAATGAGGTGTCATTTGATATATCTTAAAAAGTTGTGAGAAACAATTTTTTTTTTACTTAATTTGAACACCCAAATCAAAAGTTATGGATTTCCAATATTTTACTATGAAACTATTAACTTTTTATAATACCTGTGGGGCATGTCTCTCTCCATCATGTCATGCCTAATGTGAAATGTTTTTGAATTCTATGTATTTGTAATTACATTTAAAATGACTACATTTTCATAATTTTTATTAAAAAAGTAATATATTAATTTTTATTTTATTTTTTGTTTGCCTGTTTTTGAGTTATTTATTCCCATCATTGTAGAAAGTAACCAATGCAATTCGCGTGTGTAAAGCATCGAATGTGGATCATGATCGTCATTAGTCTTGTTGACTCATTCAATCGCCACAGCTGTTGGTATATTCTCGAGGAATTAACTGTTT